TCTGCAATTGATGATGAGGAGGAGGACATGGAGGCGAGACCAGAGATCTCTGGAGCTGATAAACAATCAAGCCATGGCAATCTCTCGACCAAGAAGAGCAGCAATCCCAGCCCTCTTCAAGCTGCAGAAAGTGTAGCAACGGACAAGACCCACAAGAAATGTTACGTCTCCCCTGTCAAAGAGACACCTAAAAAGGCAAAGGACAAGGCAGAGAAAAAGGTAACACTGAAACGCAAGAGTACAGAGATGAGCAGTGAGAATACAAAGCAGAATGTTACCCCGAAGGAGACAGCAGCTGCAGTTCAAACCACAGGTAATAAAGTGAAGAGATGTCCCAAAAAACAGACGATAGGGAAAACAGGTGTTCAGGATAAGAGCGAAATAAAGGAAACTGTGGAAAGAGTTCAAAAGGTGAGTTTGGAAGAGGACGATGTTGAGAAGGAGAAATCAGTTAAGGAGGCGTTAGAGAAAGACATGCTGGAGAAGGAGAATATGGAGAAAGCGAAGGAGGAAAACAAGAGGCTGGAGAAGGAGAAAAAAGAGCAGCAGGGAACACTGAAGAATGAGAGAGAAGGAAAAGAGAACAAAAATACAACAAAATCTAAGAGTCCTTCTAAAAAAATGGAGAAAGTGGGTGAAAAGACTGTTGAAAAAGCACCTCAGAGTCTGGAAGCACCAGTGGAAAAACAGGGAGAGAAGAGCAAGATGAAGCCACTAAAGAGAAAGGCTGCTGAGGCCTTGGACTTATCAATGAAGGAATCTCCTGAGGAGCCCTGCACCGACATTAAGGCCAAACGGTTAAAAGTCAAGGCTGCTCACAAGTCACAATCAAAAGCCAGTATCCCCCAAAGCATGACGACTGAGCCTTGCCCAGTGTCTGAGCAGGAGGCCTCAGCAAACCAGATTATGAACTCGCCCGTAGTGAAAAAGCTGAAAAACATCAACAAGAAAGAAGCAAGCCCTGGAGAGACTGAGGCTTCCAGTGAGAACAAGGAGTGTTCCATCATTGAGAACCCCATTAGCCCCCCTGAAAACAAAAAGTGTCCTGCCACAGAGCTTCAGCCAACAGTTGTACAGGGAGAGAAGCAGGCATCTGACCAGGAGACCGTCCCCGCAAAGAGCTCTGCAGAACAACAGTCCAATAATGGGGGAAACAACCTTGCAAAGCAAAATGCATCCCCATCTCAGGACACAACTCCACAGGCTGAGCAGGCTAAGGTCGCCGACCAAGCAGAGGAAACTCCTACTCTTGAAGACGAGTCCCCATCTCCCATAGAAATGGACGGCTCTCCCGATTTCAGAAGGCCACAGGGAGTACCATCAACACCAACAACACCCTCCCTGGAGCTCCCTAGGCCAAGAGGAAAGCCTACTGAAACTGAAGAGGACGAGGGAATCCACAGCCATGACGGAGGAAGTGAGATCAGCGATAGCGCCTCGGAGGGCAGCGACGACTCGGGGCTCAACGGACTGGCCGCTGCCGCCAGCAAACTGGCCAATGACCCTGAAACTCCCACAGAAGAGATTCCGACTCCAACTGAACTCAAGAATCACATGTGTATTTTCTGTGACCGTACCTTCCCCTTGGAGGTGGAGTACCGTCGGCACCTGAATCGCCACCTGGTGAATGTGTACTATCTTGACAATGCATCCAAGCTGGGCCAGTGAGTGTCTGCAGAGTAGGGAGCTATGAATTATCCCATTTTGGTCAGGTTCCAGCAGTGTATTTTGTTTTACACTGTCTCCCTGTTATAAAACATAGTTGTCTGTGTAAGCATGTTGACAGTACATATTCAGTTACCTTGCATTAGTGCTCACTAGTAAGTGCTGTATAAAATATAATATGATATGCCTAAAACTCTCTTGACAGCCTTTTTAATACCAGCTTTAGGCAGACTAGTTAATTGGATTATTGGTGTCTGGGCTTTCACGTATTGGTTCCCAGACTGTTTGACTATTAATTCTTCAGTGCTTTTAATTTAAATCATAGAGAATATGTGAGTTGACACGTGTGAGGCCCAAAACGAATGTTCATGGTTTGGCATTTGGCTGAAACATCCATCAAAGAAAATATGGGATATTCATTTTGTTGCTTGTAAATCTCATAATACTTGTAAATCTCATATGGTTATGCAACTACCGGTATCTAAAATCGAATAGCATTGTATATATGTTACAAATAGCGATTGATATTCAAGAAATCGCGACACCTTGCCCTGTGGTTCACAAAGCAGTTGAGTTTCTATATTAGAAGAAGCCACCAAGAGATGAGTTGCACCTGTTTTTCTAATCCATCAGTCCTGTTGAACAACAATAGTAAATCCATTATGAAAGGAAGTGGTAGACTTTTTCAATGAAAAACCAAAGAAACCCCCCAATTCCCGCAGGGAGATTATATTAGAAGGACTCAGGTGGTCCAGAGAATAATAGGGTTCTCCTATTGTGCGAGTCCACTCCAGTGAAGTGGTCTGTACCCTAAATGGGGAAGAGGGCTGCATGTTCAAAGTTGGGACAAGTGTGCGTTGTCCACTCCACCATTTAGGGAGCACTTGACAACTATGATTTTGTCTTTTTTTATTGATAACATCAATAGAGATTTTTTAAAACATTGTATAAATCAATTATCAATCTGTACAATGGACTAATTATAAAAAATATCTTAATTACAAGAAAACGTTATAGGTGTTAATTGCCATGACTTATGAGGACTCGTTCAGTCAAATTGATGAACTATGAAATGGGGTGAGGTTTCTTTGGGCTCATCCGGTACAAAAGTGGCGAGATGCGTATAGAATTGTTTCCTGCGTTAATGTTTGAAATATGTTGTTACTTTTTGTATATACAAATCATACAAAAAAATCATACAAAAAAAACTCATTCTACTCATTAATAAATGCACAACTTTGTGGGAGGTAGGGTGTTCTTAGTGTTAGCCTACTGGCCCTTTACATCTGTAGGCCTATAGAACTTTAAGATAAGGATAGAGATTTTCTGGATGGTATAAAACAGATACTATGTTGCTATCACTGACAGAGAATAGACTAGCTAACATTGAAAACAAGTTGTGAAATGAAAGTTTGTGAACACATCTGAAACTTTGCCATTATCAGTTTTGTATCTGAGTTCAGAAAAAGCCAAAGAAGATTTTTTACAGTTGTTGAGCGAAGATGCCGGTAGTTCTACATGTTCTTCTTTTTTACTCTTCAGTGCCTTCGACAATCATTATTTTATGTTTTTGCATATTAACAGTGTAGGTTTATAGTAATTGAGTCACCATTCTTTTTACACTGTAAGAGCTCTGATTTCAATTATATTGTTGTTACATCATGTCTATCTTTAGAACCATTCCTTGAGGTTTAGTTGTAATTGTTTGATTACTATGAAGATCAAACCCTGTTTTACAGAATTGTGCCTCCAAAGCTTAGCCTGTTTGTGCCATCCGTGATATACTTCTTTCATATGCATTTAGTTTTCTGTTCTATTGAGGTGATTGTTAGACTGAGCTAATAAAAAATATGCCATGTGTACTCTTTTAGTAAATTCAGTGCAATATTATATTTTGGGTGTGATGCCAAAGTGAGAAGATAGAATTATAAAGACATATGTCTTGAGATTCCTGACTATTGGAAGGAAAAGAATATACCAGGGTTCCCTGGGAAACTGGTCCAATTTAGCGGATGTGCTCTTGAACCAGTCTATAAATGCACTCTTAGCTAGACTGTTAGATTCCGTATCACTGTAAATGTACACCGTTTATCTCTGTTCACTTACTGTATTGTGCTTATTAGTAGATAAGAAAAGTTTATTTCAGTCTTTGAAACCATTTTGCATTCACATATTGTAATCATATGTAACGTAAAACTTCAATTAAATGCTGAGTCTCAAATTGCCAGCCGCCTGTCCCTTCTAAAAGCCGGGAATCGGCACACATTTCAGCAAATAAACACCCGTTTCAAATGAATCCCGGGTCTAACTGAACTGTTTACGATATTCCCATGGACATGTGCATTAAACTTTTTTTTTAAATTATGTCATCGTTGCTAGCCATGTCGCCACCAAAAAGAGAACACAACATTAAATGAATGGTGCTGAAGGGTGAAATTGGGGTGTGTGATAGGCAGCCTAGTCGTTGCAAGTCTGATCTGCGATGGATTTGTTATTATAATGTTTATTCTGGTCACAAACAGTGTGGTAGTCTTTTCAAAATTTTATTGAGCAAAAGCTGTATGCATTAAGGAAATAGAAGCCTGGCTCAAATGGACACCTGTCTCTAATAAGCGCCGGTTGTGCTCAGTGATTAAAGCAAATAAATGAATTGAAAATACTTTTTCAGTTCAATAATTGCCAACTAACTTTTATTAATACCTTCACCAAAGTGGGGAGTTTTTGGCCATTGTCCCCAATACTTTTTGAAAACAATTGGCCGTTTTAAAACCTTTTTGTGCAGTTTAAAACAAAGCATCCTGTACCATTTTCTGCTCTACACTTTTTAATAAAAGTTGGCCTACTATCCAGAGGTATTGTTGGTGTGTGATTCCTTTCCATTTCTTACATTTTCTGCAGTTACTGATATGTTTAATAATATATTACACTAAAGGTTCCCTGCCAGCTGTCTAAGTGTAATGAAAGCAATGTAAATGTAAGCACAAGTCTACACATCGATAAACAACGACAGCTGTTTATATGTAGGATATTTACAATCATTACATTTACAGACAATGTTACAAAACCCAGAGCTGAAAACCATCCACAAACTGAAATTACGGTATCACCATTAGACATCGTGTACAAAAAGCCTCTGACATGAAAACGCATGTTGTTTTTTATAATTAGCCTACATTACAAAGTACACATTTAAGAGTAACAATGTAAACCATTAACAACACAGCAGGTCAAGGTTTGAGCTGTTTGGGTTGTCCATTTCGAACCCCTGGTATTTAGGCTACCCTGTGGGGTTACCACCAGTTCTGTCCCCAACAGCCAACACCTATCTTCTTACCCACTAGGAAGCCCTGCTTGCTGAACTGTTCCAGTCTCTTGAGATCCTGTGGAGAGAGATCACTCTCTGTCTGCTTGGAGGCGCTCTGGAGCCTCTTGGACCTCCTGAACATGCAGTACCAAATGGGGTTGATGATGGGGAACTTCAGAAGGTTCAGCGTTGTACCTGTGGATAATACAGTATTACATTTTAAAGTCAATTGAAGAAGATCAACATTGTAGAGACTTCAGTTTCTGTAAACAAATGTAAGTATGAATTAAGCCCTCTATCAATGTGACTGTAAAAGTGGTTAGAATGTAAAGCTAATTCAAGACTAATGATTGCAGCAACAATACACAAAGAAGAGTGTTCCATAAATAATAATGTATTTTATAGTAACTGTGGATTACATTCAGGCTGGGCAGAGCTCCATTTTACCAGGCCATGGAGATATGGTTGCTTTGTGGATCACATCCGAGGCTCTGGATATGCAGTAGTCTGACTCCAGTAGACTGTTAAACAGTGTTGGATTTCCCCGGTGTTGGCCGTTCCCACTAGATACACGTCTCCATTGTACTTCCACGATCTCTGAAGATTTGCGATGAGATTTTCTATTCCGTGTCCCGTTTTGGCACTAATGAGGTGGGTATCTTTGATATTATCACTGGAAATGCCTACATGAGCACAGTACTGGGAAAGTTGACATTTAATCCTTTGCAAGTAGTTTTCAAGTCCACTTTATTACCCAGAACCACTAACTTGTATGGGATGTCCAGGAGATCCATGATCAACAGTACCAAGGCTTTCTGACTTGATCCTGCGGACAATATCCCGATATTCCTCCTTGGACATCTTGACAATCAATGCCTTTTGGTGGTGTGTGAGCAAGTAACAATGATAGCAAATGGTTTTTTTCAATTCGTTCTCCTCCAGCAAAAGTTTATACTTCTCACTTGGTAGATAGCATGCCACATCAGGTGCAGTAAATGACTGCGCCACATCCATTGCAACAGATGTCAATGGCAGGTTCCTCCATATCTGCCGTACCATAGATTTTCTGCTGTCCTTCAGATTTATTTTTCTTCTTCTTGCTTGTTTCCTTTGAGAGGGAAGTCTACATCACGAAACTCGATGAGAGAATCAGGGCTCACCGTCGCCACTTTGGTCCCATCTTTCAATGACCGCAGCTGTTGCTCCAGAGTCCTCTGCTGCTTCTCAGAGCCTGACCTCGGCGGCAACCTCTTGTCTTCTTTGGAAATCATGGGGACAGCATTCACATGGAGCTGACAATGAAGTTGGTCCTTGTGAGTATCTTCTTGCTCTATGTAGTCCAGGAAAACAAATTCCTCCTCCTTTTCTGGCTCTATGGCGGTGTATGTCCCTTGAATTTGACATTTTTATCCAGCTCTTGAGTTTCACCCCTGGTCTTCATTGTGTCATCCACAGTGGTGTAAAGTACTTAAGTAAAAATGATTGCAAGTACTACTTAAGTAGCTTTTTGGGTATCTGTACTTTACTATTTATATTTTTGACTACTTTTACTTCACTACATTCCTAAAGAAAATGATGTACTTTTACTCCATACATTTTCCCTAACACCCATTTTGAATAGTTAGCAGGACAGGAAGATTCTCTAATTCATTAAGAGAACATCCCTGGTGATCCCTACTGCCTCTGATCTGGCGGACTCACTAAACACATGCTTCGTTTGCATATGATGTCTGAGTGTTGGAGCATGCCCCTGGCTATCCGTAAATTAAAAAAAACAAGAAAATGGTGCCGCTTGGTTTGCTTTATATGAGGAATTTGAAAAGATTTGTACTTTTACTTTTACTTTTGATACTTATGTATATTTTAGCAATTACATTTACTTTTGATACTTAAGTATATGTAAAACCAAATACCTTTAGACTTTTACTCAAGTAGTATTTTACTGGGTGACTTTCACTTTTACTTGAGTCATTTTCTATGAAGGTATCGTTACTTTTACTCAAGTATGACAATTGGGTACTTTTTCCACCACTGGTCATCCAATACAAAAGGGAGTTCATGATCACTGGTCATCCAATACAAAAGGGAGTTCATGATGGAAAAGGTTTCCTTCAAACACAGACATATAGTGCCTTCATAGAGGTGATGAGATCCATTTGGTCCTATGCTTTACAGATAGACATGGAATTGATAGATGTCAAGAACATTTACATTTAACAATTTCACGCAACAATTTATACATCTTTACAAACTAATACAATTGAATCATACATCATACAATGATAACATAACCTTGAATAAAAACACGAGTTGTTGCTTCTTTTTTGGTGGAGTTTAACGGCGGTTGGCCGCCCCTAACTGAACTATCATAGATTTGTATAACTAAACCAAGATAGACCACAGACTATTGTTTCCAGAACAAGCAAGGAGGTGGGCAGAACCAAGCACGAGATAGTGAGATTCTATTGGCGCGTTCTAGCATCATCTGCATATTTCTGTTAGGGAACGCCTACTCTCTGAAGTGCGCGTGTGCAATAACTAAATTCGCCTTTCCATTCCTTCAAAACAACGCGATTTTTAGAAACTTTTGCAATGGGTAAAGTCTACAAAACTTAGTCCACTCTGTTCATAACAGATTCTGGTTTTGGCAACAGAAAAATGTATTGAGATCAAATGTTTCATCGATGAGAACATTTGCAGAATGTTGGCCAAAGTCCATCTCGTTCCATCTTCTCCCACTGCCGGCCATTGGGCTTCCTCTCACTTCACATTTATACATCCGGCGAAATATCTTATTGTTCTATCTGTGAAAGTATAATATAAATCCATTACACATGTGAGTTGCTGCAACAAAAATCAATTTATATCCTGACGGAACTGACGTAGATGGAAATGTTGTTTATTTACATTTACAACTATTAAGATTCGGCCTCTAATAATAATAATAAAATATATTATTTATTAGATAATATGATTCTCATAGTTAATATTGGAGCAGAATAGCACAAATATTTAGTGAAGACTCATTTCTTGCACGTCAAAATAACAGATTGTACAGGAAATGACGTATTAGGATTGACCATCAATATTTCTTCTGGTATTCATTTAGCTAGCAGAGTGTGCAACGTTAGACAACGTTGAATCCGACACTGTTGATGATTTAAACGTCGGTTTCTGCTTATTTAGGCGAACACGAGAGGGAATAAGCAGTAAGCATGTATGACCAAGATGAAGGTATTTCAGCTATTGGTGTCTACTGTGGTTTTTTACATAATATAGCTCGCTAGCTTGCTCCTCGCTAGCTAGCTAAGTTAGCATATAGGCTATATGGCGCCAGAAGCATCAACAAGAAGACATAGTTAGCAAGCCTGCTAGCGCTATGTAGGTTGACTAGTTTGTTACATACCAAAGATGGTTTCACCAGACTAAACACCCAACGTTAGCTAGCCATAGCACACTTTCAACTAGGCCTATCTAAATGAGCATCACATCATGCCATTATGTTGCAAAAACAAAGCTGTCTTTGAGATCTGCAGAGCTACAATACCCTTATTTGTTTGTATCAGTTGTTCTTCTGTAGAAAACTCCATGAACTAGATCCGGGGCCTAGGCTAACATTAAATCACTGCGTCTGCATTGACTTTGTTGATGTATTTTCTGTGATCTCTTGCAGATATCCAATACGACGAGGATGAGGATGAAATCACCCCCGATTTATGGCAGGAAGCTTGCTGGATTGTTATCAGGTAAAATTATGCTCTCCCTACCTATCTTTCCTCTTTTGATCATCATGTAGCATACACTATGCAGCTTGCTTATGTTCAAATAACACTATTCTCGCTGATGCACCCTACAGTTCCTACTTTGATGAGAAGGGTCTGGTACGACAGCAGCTGGACTCCTTTGACGAGTTCATCCAGATGTCCGTGCAGAGGATTGTGGAGGATGCTCCGCCCATTGACCTGCAGGCTGAGGCCCAGCACACCTCTGGAGAGGTGGAGGACCCGGTGAGTGACAGACAGGCACTTTCAGAAATGCTGCTCCATGTAGGGCCTCTCTCTAAAGGCGCTCACTCATGGCCTGTAACTAATGAGCCCTTTCCTTTGCCCTACAGCCACGCTACCTGCTAAAGTTTGAACAGATCTACCTTTCCAAACCCACTCACTGGGAAAGAGATGGAGCACCCTCCCCTATGATGCCCAACGAAGCCAGACTCCGGAACCTCACGTAAGTTGGCCCATTTGGAGTCATAATTTTATCACAATATATCTCCCGCGCACCTCATATGCAACCTTCAGTGCTGCCAGTGCCAACCAGGCTCACATCTGTATTGTACAGGTACTCTGCTCCGCTGTATGTGGACATCACCAAGACCATCATCAAGGAGGGTGAGGACCAGCTGCAGACCCAGCACCAGAAGACCTTCATCGGCAAGATCCCTATCATGCTGCGCTCCACCTACTGCCTGCTCAGTGGCCTAACGGACCGTGATCTCTGTGAGCTCAACGAGTGCCCGCTAGATCCTGGGGGCTACTTCATCATCAACGGCTCTGAGAAGGTAGAAGAAGAAAGAGAGATTGGGGGTGGAGGGTGGGATTTATGTCTGGCCTTGTGTGTTTGGGTACCCTTGTTTCTTCAATACTTTTCACGAAGCACCTGAGAAACACACGCTTTTGCTTGAAGAGGATGTTTTTATTGGGGTACCCTTGTTTCTTCAATACTTTTCACGAAGCACCTGAGAAACACACGCTTTTGCTTGAAGAGGATGTTTTATTGATAACAATTGTTGTGTTTGGTGTGCAGGTCCTGATTGCCCAAGAAAAGATGGCGACGAACACAGTGTATGTCTTTGCCAAGAAGGACTCAAAGTACGCGTACACAGGGGAGTGCCGCTCCTGCCTGGAGAACTCCTCGCGCCCCACCAGCTCCATCTGGGTCAGCATGATGGCCAGGGGAGGACAGGTGAGAAACAAACAACCTTGAACACCAAAATATACCTTGTCTGAATTTGCTGGCAACGTTGCCGTTAGGTTCTCTTTCCTCTGCTACTGCACCCAAATGTTGACTCTCTTTGTTTCTTTTTCTCCCAGGGGGTTAAGAAAAGTGCCATTGGTCAGAGGATCGTGTCCACTCTGCCCTACATCAGACAGGAGGTGCCCATCATCATAGTGTTCCGAGCCTTGGGCTTTGTGTCCGACAGAGACATCCTGGAGCACATAATCTACGACTTTGACGACCCTGAGATGATGGAGATGGTAAAAGTTCTACATTGTAACTGACACATGAAACATATTCCTTCTCTCTCTCTCTCTCTCTCTCTCTCTCACCGCCCAACCATCCATCCACACCTCTGATGTGCTGTGCTCCACCAGGTCAAGCCCTCCCTGGACGAGGCCTTTGTGATCCAGGAGCAGAACGTGGCCCTGAACTTCATCGGCTCTCGTGGTGCTAAGCCCGGTGTCACCAAAGAGAGGAGGATCAAGTACGCCAAGGAGGTGCTGCAGAAGGAGGTGCTCCCCCACGTCGGAGTCAGTGACTTCTGTGAGACCAAAAAGGCCTATTTCTTAGGGTATGTTTTTATTATGTTATATTAATGTAATAATCATAGAGATCCTATAATTCACCAGGTTTCTGTTGGAGATTCTATATGTAATTATATGGTTATGACAGCATGATCTTACTGATTGCATAAAGACCAATATGTTGTTGTTGTTGTGCTTGATGTATTAGCCTAACTCGGTGTGTATATCTGGGTCTGTTTGTAGGTACATGGTCCACAGACTGCTATTGGCTGCCCTGGGCAGAAGAGAGCTGGATGACAGGGATCACTACGGCAACAAAAGATTGGACCTGGCTGGGCCTCTGTTGGCTTTCCTGTTCCGTGGGTAAGGCCTGAAGGAACACCTCTATAAAACTATAAATTATCTATAAAGCTATAATTCACAGATGTTGGGCTACTTTGTGTAAACCGCACTCCTATCCAAACTGATCATTTGGTGAATATTAATGAAGTCAATGGGATACCAAGCCTGGAACTTTAATCAAGCTCTTTTTCATTTATGTTGACACGTTTAGAATGTTCAAGAACCTGCTGAAAGAGATCCGCATATACGCCCAGAAGTTCATTGACAGAGGGAAAGACTTCAACCTGGAGTTGGCCATCAAGACGCGCATCATCTCCGATGGCCTGAAGTACTCTCTGGCCACGGGGAACTGGGGTGACGTCAAGAAGGCCCATCAGGCCAGAGCTGGAGTGTCCCAGGTAACACAGTACAGAAGACACATTGTACACATATCTATATATTTTAGTCTCAGTTTGCCATTATGCTGCTACAAGATGATTGTTGTCATTCCAAACCAGAACTTTTTGTGTTCTTTATCTCGTTAGGTGTTGAACCGCTTGACCTTTGCCTCAACCCTCTCCCATCTTCGACGGGTGAACTCCCCCATCGGTCGAGATGGCAAGCTAGCCAAGCCCAGGCAGCTTCACAACACACTGTGGGGCATGGTGTGCCCTGCCGAGACCCCCGAGGTATGTCCAAAACCAACCCAAATTATATCTGTGTTCATATCAAGGGCTATTGTTGTATCATGCCATATTTTAAGGTTGAGGTTACCCTCAAAGAATTAAGCTCGCAGTCAAGGAAGGCTAGTCATTGATATGCTATTGTCCCCTCTTACTTTGTTCCTGTCTTTGTGCCTCCCACTGTCTATCTGGTATCTCCAGGGTCATGCTGTAGGCCTGGTGAAGAACCTGGCCCTCATGGCCTACATCTCTGTGGGCTCCCAGCCCTCTCCCATCCTGGAGTTCTTGGAGGAGTGGAGTATGGAGAACCTGGAGGAGATCTCACCGGCAGCCATCGCAGAGTGAGTCCAGCAGATGGCAGCACACTGCTCTTTATCAGTCCAGAAAATATCTAAACATTCTCAGTCTTTCATGTCTGAGTGACTTGTATAGTTTGTCAACCTATCTTATCTGTATTTTAGCTGAAGTTTTTCTTCATTAATTCAACACTAACAGTGCCACAAAGATCTTTGTGAATGGCTGCTGGGTGGGTATACACAAGGACCCAGAGCAGCTGATGAACACACTGAGGAAACTGAGAAGGCAGATGGACATCATTGTGTCTGAGGTAAGGGATATGATTTTTCCGGGAATTTCAGCTTTTCTGACATTTTCATTATTTATGATATTATTATTCATTTAAATTAACCTACAAACACACTATCCCTTATCCTGATTTTCTGTGTTGTTCTGATCAGTGTTTACCCCTGTTTCTAGGTGTCCATGATCAGAGACATCCGAGAGAGGGAGATCCGCATCTACACAGACGCAGGGAGGATCTGTCGTCCTCTGCTGATCGTAGAGAAACAGAAGCTGCTGCTGAAGAGGAGACACATTGACCAGCTGAAGGAGAGGGAGTACAACAACTACAGTTGGCAGGACCTGGTGGCCAGCGGCGTGGTGGAGTACATCGACACCCTGGAGGAGGAGACTGTGATGCTGGCCATGACCCCTGACGACCTCCAGGAGAAGGGCGTGGCCTACTGTTCTACATACAGCCACTGTGAGATCCACCCCTCCATGATCCTGGGAGTCTGTGCCTCCATCATCCCCTTCCCCGATCACAACCAGGTACGGCAAAAAATATTAACCTCCTATAATATATTTTCTTGTTGGTGTGATTGATTTAGGTGCAATGGTATTATCTATGACAAGACTATAAAACATTCTAAATTAAGATTTTTGATCAGTCTTGGTATACAGTATCACACGATTTCTCAATTATATGCCCCTGTTTTAACTGTTAACCGATTAATACAATTTCCCCCCATCTTTTCCCCTCTGTAGTCTCCCAGAAACACGTACCAGTCTGCTATGGGTAAACAAGCCATGGGTGTGTACATCACCAACTTCCATGTGCGGATGGACACCCTGGCCCATGTGCTCTACTACCCCCAGAAACCCTTAGTCACCACCCGCTCTATGGAGTACCTGCGTTTCAGAGAGCTTCCAGCAGGTGAGAACTGGAGCGCTGCAGAATTAGCAGCCAATAACACCCCTTAACTCTGACCTAAAGATTTCTGCCATATTCTAGTTCTGGCTCGTTGAAATCCTCCATTTGTGCCTCGTTTAGGTATCAATTCTATTGTAGCTATTGCGGCGTACACTGGCTACAACCAGGAGGACTCTGTCATCATGAACCGCTCTGCGGTGGACCGTGGATTCTTCAGGTATGTGTTGTGATTTGAAGACAGAAATTTGCTGTGAAAATGACTTAAGACGTTGGTGTAATTCATGTTTTTTTATTTCAGGTCTGTGTTCTACCGCTCCTACAAAGAACAAGAGTCAAAGAAAGGTTTTGATCAGGAGGAAGTCTTTGAAAAACCCACACGCGAAACATGTTCGGGTACGTACTAGGCATCTTTGGCATCTACAAATATATAAAGAAAATCGGAGCCTACTATTTCCATAATCTCATACATTTTCCATCAGCAGCTTCCCTTAAATTGCCATTCATACAAAGATAAGTGTTCATTGAACAACCCAATGCCTCTGCCTTCCCCCAGGTATGAGGCACGCCATTTACGACAAGCTGGACGACGACGGCTTGATAGCTCCCGGTGTGCGTGTCTCCGGCGAGGACGTGATCATCGGCAAGACAGTGACCCTGCCGGAGACCGACGACGAGCTGGACAGCACCAACCGCCGCTACACCAAGAGGGACTGCAGCACCTTCCTCCGCACCAGCGAGACGGGCATCGTGGACCAAGTCATGGTCACCCTCAACCAGGAGGGCTACAAGTTCTGCAAGATCAGGGTGCGTCCTGAGTCCTCTAGCTTCCCCCAGGAGGCATATTGTGTCAAGTTGACAATGCAGTAGTAGGCTGTAAAAATGACAAACTAACGGTAACAAATTACCCCTGTTGACAGCTCTACTTATTTGTGAAGTTTAGAGTAGGCAGGAAGGTCATCTGCACTAGGTGCAGGTTTGAATTTGTCATGAGTTGAGTTTTACGAGCATGATTGCTTCCATAGAAGCAACAAGCCCGAGATACCAAATCAGAGTTGTTGACAGATTGACTAAATAAAACATGAGCTCCACTGGTTGGATATTGCACCCTCTAACCTTGGGCCATAAGGTTATGAAGCCTCCTTACACTTTACACTCATCGGCCTACTTGTGGCATGATTTAACTCGAACTCCATTTGTTTCTTCTTCCAGGTTCGCTCTGTTCGTATCCCCCAGATTGGTGACAAGTTTGCCAGTCGACACGGGCAGAAGGGTACCTGTGGTATTCAGTACAGACAGGAGGTAACGTATTGGACACATGCTGCTCATGCATAGTCTACAGGACTACTCACTCTTAAGTAGACTACACAGTATGACATTGAGCCAGGCAATGTTTATCATGATGTTTATTCAATGGCCTAGAAACATTGTGTTTAGACTGAACCTAAACATAAATAAAGCCAAAGGCCTCTTCACAGGAAATGCTAAGTAAACCACGTCCCAGTATATACTATAAAACTGATTTAGATAGAACATGGAAGTCTGTAGAATGTGCCACATTCCAGCAAGAGGTTATGCCTTAGAAGAACTGGTTCAGAAAATTGGAACCCTCACACAAGTTTTTGTAAGTGAACTATGTCCATTGTTCCGATACTTTCCACAGGACATGCCCTTCACTTGCGAGGGAATTACCCCAGACATCATCATCAACCCCCACGCCATCCCCTCTCGTATGACAGTCGGCCATTTGATCGAGTGCCTGCAGGGCAAGGTACTGTCACGTGTCTAATGACTCCTCCCCCCACTTCATTTGTACTTTTATTACTCCTATGTTGAGACCTCTGAAGAATGTGACAGTAAACTATTAAGGTAAACCAATAAGATTGTCTGTCATCTAGATAGGGTCTATTACAAAGGTCAGTGAGTATTAATGTTTGTTAAATTAAAAGCAAGCAGAGCGTTTAAGTTTTTAGACTTTCGTCATGGAAATCAAGTGTAGTGTATGGATGGGAGTTTTCACCCTCTCCTTTCACCATGTAGGTTTCAGCCAACAAAGGAGAGATTGGTGACGCCACGCCTTTCAACGATGCGGTCAACGTGCAGAAAGTCTCCAACCTGCTGTCTGAATACGGCTATCACCTGAGAGGCAACGAGGTCAGGACATCAGCCCCCTTTACCATTCACATCTACTTTCTATAGTAGCTATTTCAGACTGAGCAATTTCACACTAGTCTGTCTATAGAGTACAATTAACTGGCCTCATTTTTCCCTTCTAGGTGTTGTACAACGGTTTCACCGGCCGTAAGATTACCTCTCAGATCTTCCTCGGGCCCACATACTACCAACGCCTGAAGCACATGGTGGACGACAAGATCCACTCTCGGGCCCGAGGCCCAGTCCAGATCCTCAACAGACAGCCCATGGAGGGCAGATCACGGTAAGAACACTAAGAATTATTTAACGTAGGACTTTATCCCTTTATGGCACTACGTGAGTGTACTGGGTATGCATTCCTGGGATCGTATTTGTTAAGCAACTTTAAGTGGGAGCTGAACTAGGATCAGTTATGTCTTTTAGATGACAAATGCACAGGGGGAGAGGGACCTGATCCTAGATCAGCACCTCTAGATCAGATGGTTTATGAATACAGGCCTTGATCTTGCCTACTTAAATCTAGAATCCTTACTTGAAACAATAACAAAGCAGTCACCCAGCATGTGTTTTGGTAAAAAGCTGAGGGATGGCCCTGGAGAAATGTAACCACTCTGAAATTCATAGACAGAGCTATGGATGCAAGGACTGACATGATATCCAAATTATAGTTTTAACCATGTTTTGAGGCTATAAAGTGTTTGTTTACATTTACTTTGTTTACAAATAATGCCGTAAAACAAGCTAAAATTTTAGGTTCTGATGGGGTACGACAGTTGAACTAAGCTCATGAGGCATTTATAAGTTATATTCTTCAAGAATCAATGGCTATGTATCATTAAAGTCCAAAACTTGATGTAGCAACTGCAGATTGCCGCTTTAACTAACCATGCTCTCATTTTGCACCCAGTGATGGAGGTCTTCGTTTTGGGGAGATGGAGCGTGATTGTCAGATAGCTCACGGCGCGGCTCAGTTCCTGCGTGAGAGGCTGTTCGAGGCATCTGACCCCTACCAGGTCCACGTCTGCAACCTCTGTGGCCTAATGGCCATCGCCAACACCCGCACACACACCTACGAGTGCAGGGGCTGTCGCAACAAAACACAGGTGCGGAACAACACCACCACCAGTGTCCCGGCCTATTCACATGTTGTTTATATCCACTATACCTTTATTACTGTAACCAGAATGTCAATTCTGAATTCTAACTACAGTAATCCCTCGTTTATCGCGGGGGTTACGTTCCGAAAATGACCCGCGATAAGTGAAATCCGCGAAATAGAAAACTTTTTTTTTTTACAATTAGCAACTATTACATGTATACAAATACAGTGACTCACGTGTAGGCCGTTTCACTGCTCTTCAGACTGGGCCGCTGCATCCTGACTGCGCTCTGCAGTGTTCTCTTCTTCTGAAGCCCGCGGTGCAGGTGTGTTTGTTCGGGAGAAGAACATAGTGATAGGCAGCTGTTGTCGCTCTTTTTTCTTCTTTGCAAAAAGATCCTTGTACACCGACATGCCACCATCGATTACGTTGGAGAACTGTAATGAACGGCTCATCAAAGGGTCCCATTCCTCAGCTACTCGCTTAAGTTCAGTGGCCATTCGCACCATGGTTGCTAAGCGACCAAGCGTTAGTCCTTCCTCCTCATCTCTCGTGTCCTCTTCTCCCTCTTCTCTTTCATCGTCGCTTTGTGGCTTTGTCATTTACCTTCCCTTAGCATGTCCAGAAGTTTAACTTTATCTGAGATAGGTAGCATCTTCCGCCGTTTGGGCCCATCCGCAGGTGCTTTTGTCGGTCCAGGCCGTTTCGTCGACATTATGGGTTTAGGAGATGTTCGAAATTACAAGATAATTTGGCCAACTTAATGTAAATTTGCCAAGCTGTTTTATGTACGTACACATAACTGCACGAGACGACAAAATGATAGCACAATTCGTAGCATGTTTTGATACAAGAAGCGGGAGTGAGTTTTTAGCGAATCAGAATGCAGAGCACAATGCACCAAAAAAAAAAAAATGCATTATGAAAATCCGCGAAATAGCGAATCCGCGATAAGTGAACCGCGAAGTGGCGAGGGATCACTGTATACTGTATAGTGAAATGTGTCCTATAGACTTTTTAAAGTGTTCCAACAGGACTATACAAAAGCTTTAGCCTTAGTTTTGTTGGAGATTTATCGAATAAGATGTTTGTACAATGTAACCGTTTCCACCCTTTCTTGTCAGATCTCTCTGGTCAGAATGCCGTATGCCTGCAAGCTGCTCTTCCAGGAGCTCATGTCCATGAGCATCGCCCCTCGCATGATGACCAGTTAGGAGCACTACCAAACCCCTGTCGAGTCAACAGGAATTGAATAGTGTTGTAGGAATGTCGAGGACATCGCTTATCTCAGTGGGAGAAATGGAGCATGACGAGACAAAAACTAAACGCAACAGTCAACTTATTTTGGCTCCCACGATTTGTCTGGCAACATTTTTTTTGTTGTGATATCGCTGTTTTGGAACGGAAGGAACATCGTCTGTGTTGTTTTTGTCAAACTAGAATAAATAAAGGTTGGTTTTTAATTTGTTGTCACTGTAGTTCTTCATTCAGTGTTTGTATTGAGCTAGCTAGCTTTATGTGGATTTGAAAAACGGATATATAGTGTGTGTGTATACACAGTACCAGTCAAGTTTGGACACACCTACTCATTCAAGGGTTTGTCTTAATTTTTTACTATTTTCTACATTGTAGGAATCATGTAGTAACCAAAAAAGACTGTGCAAAGCTGTCATCAAGGCAAAGGGTGGGTATTTGAAGAATCTCAAATATAAAATATATTTTGATTTGTTTAACACTTTTTTGGTTACTACATGATTCCATATGTGTTATTTAATTGTTTTGTCTTCACTATTATTCTACAATGTAGAAAATAGTAAAAATAAAGAAAAACCCTTGAATGAGTAGGTGTGTCCAAACTTCAGACTGGCACTCTGTGTATGTATGTATATATATATATGTGACAAATTATTTCATAGTGTTACACTGTTCTGTGCAGAAGTCTTGATCATGTAATATCGAAATAGCAACAACTTGTAGTCCATTTTGTATTTATTAGTGATGTACAGCACGTGTCACATGGTAGGAACATCAATGTTAGTAAACCATACAAATACAGAAAATACATACTTAAGCTGAAAAACTAGCAACATTTTGGTAAAAGCAATGTCCTCTGGCCTCTTCATTGGAGTCGCGGACTTTTAGCAATAGCACCGAAAGTGGATCTCTACATTCCAACATAAAGCCTCCTTTTTCTACGCCATTTCAAACTTGTCGTTTGCTCAATATACCCTACAGTACATCCCCAGACATCCGCCACTGTGTGGTTTGTTAGCTAAACCCCTAGTATAAGAGCACTGGGGTTATATGAATGCCAGAGAAAGCCTTATGTGTCTGGTTTGCCTGCCTGTCATTCCAGATCGCTCACTCCACACAATGGTTTTTGCAAAGGCACGGCTTTATGGCTTGTCAAGCACCATATCAAGGGAAATAATGATTTGTGTACTTTTCAGGAGGTCAAAGAAAAACTAAATCTTTTTTTTTTATAGAATCTCGAATGTAAGGATTTATTCATATTCATTCATTTTTCAAGTTGTGATTTTAGTTATTTTTAGCCTGCGTGTCAGTATGTTTCTGCCTTGGCCAACCATGATTGCCTTGAAATATAATATTTTTGAGTGCAGGCACCCAGGGTAAAATTCTTTAGAGTAAATACATTCACAAAAACAGCAAACTACATAAAAATAAGAGATGGTGGAAGAGTAAGGGTGAGGCAGATGTGAAATACTGGTGAGTTTGACTGGGCATGCATATGTGCAATTACTTTGTGTGTGCGCACATACAGGTAACTGCCAAAATAAAGGAAACCCCCAACATAAAGCGTCTTAATAGGGTATTGGGCCACCACAAGGCAGAACAGCTTCAATGAACCTTGGCATCGATTAGACAAGTGTCTGGAACTCTATTGGAGGGATGCAACAACATTCTATCATGAGAAATTCCATCATTTGGTGTTTTGTTGATGGTAGTGGAAAACGCTGTCTCAGGCACCGCTCCAGAATCTGCCCTAAGTGTTCAATTGGGTTGAGATCTGGTGACAGACAGCCATGGCATATGGTTTACATAGTTTTCATGCTCATCAAACCATTCAGTGACCACTCGTGCCCTGTGGATGGGCGCATTGTCATCCTATGGGGGCATAACCATGGTAGCCAAAATAATGCCCTGCCCAGCATTTTTATACATGACCCTAAGCATGATGGGATGTTAATTGCTTAATTAAGTCAGGAACCACACCTGCTTTCAATATACTTTGTATCCCTCATTTACTCAAGTGTTTCAATTATTTTGGCAGTTACTTGTACATATTAAAGAATGACTTGTGTGTGATGCCACTGAGAAGAAATAATGTGTGTGAGAGGCCTAGATGTGTCTTGTGGATGTCTACGATGGTAACTTTCAATGCCGTGAGATGCAATTTTGATGTTTGTGCATACACAGTATACTGAATATAACTATGAAAACTGTGACTTGTTATCAAATAGCAAATCAATTATAAATATGATTGATCTCTGTGATGCTAATAATGGGTGTTGGTCCTCTTTCTCAGTCAGTGTACAAGTCTACTTGTGTCAGCGGTGGGATAGTCGAGGATGGGGGGCTTGGGGCTGCTCCCTCCTCTCCACCACTGAGTCCCTGCTGTGCTGAGACGCCTTACAGCTCATCATCCTTGGCCACTGGAAGAGACACAGACAAGAACACGATGACATATATTGGGGAAGTACATTTTTTGAAGAGGTAAGTGAATTTAATAAAGAGGCAAGTTAATTTATTAAAGAGGTAAGTGGAATGTCTAGGGTAAGGGTCCTTAACTGGTACTGTTTATAATAAATAATAATACTTCATTTAATTTGTAAAGCGCTTTTCTCAGACCCAAGGTGCAAAAAATATTAAATAAATAAAACATACAAATTATGACCAATGATGGGGAAGACCTGAATACTTGGATCGGTTTTCATCAGATTTGTATCGCCTTCCTAGCCCTGATTCCTTTTTAGATCACTGGTAATGAGGGAGAAGTGATTAGGATCTTGCACGATGGAGAGCGTGCCTTGGAAATGGTTTGTTGTTTTTAATAGTATCCATCATCACAGACCACCAGGGATGGGAGATCACCTAAAGGTAGAGCTAACCTTTTCATTGGGATCTGATGGCGTTTTCACTCAAACATCCAGGTTCTTTCCCATGGAGCAAAGCTTTAAAGGCAGGTCAATGAAGTGCATGTGTCAACCCCAGTGAGACGCGCCTTGTAAAGGCAACCATCTAGCCCTGTCAAGAGAGCCAAGTGATGTGGGCCGAGCCAAAAGCCAAAAGCAAAGCAGGCAATCCTAAACATGTCAAGACGGGATGGTCACCACAGGCTAGAGGGCCTGAATTCCAAATAAGTCACACACACACTGAATGTACCCATACAAGGACGCACATGTACAGACACAGCTCATGCAAACCTGAAGAGACAAATCAATGTATAAAGGGTAGATATGACCTTTGGTGCCATAGTGTGTGGGTTTAGATTTAACATGAAAAAAAGTAGAAATAAGAGTAAAATAGGAGTGCGATAGAGAAGGGGCGCTTGAGTACCTTTCTTGACAGGGATGTCATCGATGGACTCCACCACGTGAATGGTGCCCACCGCTGAGGCTTCTCCCTTGACGTTGACAGCGTGACACTCGTACGAACCCTCCTCTTCCTTGGTGAGCGGCGAGATCTGAAAAGCATGGTGGCGGCGGTTATTATAGCCTAATGTGATTTTTAGCAGAACACATGTTATAGTCTGCAGTAAACAAGCAGCTGCAAGGGACACAGACACATCCTCAAACTCTCTCTCCCAGCCAAACTCGGCTCATTTCGACAGAGCATGGGTGCCATTTCAAGCGTTCAGGATTGTTTGCAGTTGTATAACTGCTGTCCAGTGCCGGCTTGCACCTGTGTAGGTGTTTAGACATTTACTTCTCACAAGTACAGACATCTACAATGGAAGATGGCCAATGAAGAAAACATGGTAACAAATCATCATGGAAGATAAATACTCTGAACTGAGATGAAGAAATTGAAAGAATGTGATGTTTGACAGCAGGGGAGCGGAATCCTGAGAGCGAAAAGAGAGGGAGGAAGAGCTAGATATAGCTCTAACCCCTGAACAGGGCCAACCAATGTTTTCTGTTCATTCACTGAGACATTGACGAAGGAGTTGCATTTCTATTAAACTCTCTGTTATGTAGAGGCTCTGAACAGAACAAGTCAATGAGTAGCGTTCATGGATAACTTTGGAATGTGCCTCAGGTAATGTTTAAGCAATAAGGCACGAGGGGCTGTGGTATATGGCCAATATACCACGGCTAAGGGCTGTTCTTATGCACGACGCAACGTGGAGTGCCTGGATACAGCCCTTAGCCGTGGTATATTGGCCATATACCACAAAGCCCCGAGGTGCCTTATTGCTATTATAAACTGATTACCAACGTAATTAGAACAGTAAAAATAAATGTTTTGTCATACCCGTGGTATACAGTCTGACATACCACGGCTTTCAACTAATCAGCATTCAGGGCTCGAACGTCCCAATTTATAATTATAAATACATAGCATAAATAATGGTCAGCTATCTAATACATAACTCTTCCACCCTATGCTATATTTTTACCTTTACTAACTCTGTGTGTGGTCTTTGAGGTATTTGACTGATTTGTGTCTGTGGGGGAAGATCCACAAGTCTGTATGACAGCTAAAATATTTCAAGTAGTGTGCATATCTGTGTGTTTATGTGTGTGTGGGCTGGTTGGACTCACCAGGACCCAGCCCGTGACCTCATGTTTCTCAGGTCCTCCACGGGTCTGAATGGCCAGGTTGTCTCTGTCTCCTGGAAGCAGCTCCATTCTCTGTTTTCCGCTGGTGACCTGGGAAAACAACAGTTAACTTAATAACTAACTAATCGAATCAACTCTATCTGAGGGGCTTTTGAGGCAAGCTGAGAGCTGTTCTTCAGGAGGCCCGGACATTACTGTCTCCAGGCTCTAGTTCTCCATAGTAGATAGGACTTAACCCGGTCATAGTCATCACCTTCACTCTAACAGCTCAGCGTTCAACACCATAGTCCCCCCAAAGCTTCTCACTAAGCTAAGGACCCTGGGATTAAACACCTCCCTCTGCAACTGGATCCTGGACTTCCTGATGGGCCGCCCCCAGGTGGTGAGGGTAGACAACAACACATCCGCTACACTGACCCTCAACACGGGGGCCCATCAGGGGTGTGTGCTTAGTCCCCTCCAGTACTCCCTATTCACCCACGACTGCGTAGCCGCGCACGACTCAAACACCATCATGCAGACGACACGATAGTGGTAGGCCTGATCACCGTCGACAATGAGACAGCCTACATGGAGGAGGTCCGAGACCTGTCTGGGTGGTGCCAGGACAACAACCTCTCCCTCAATGTCAACAAGACAAAGGAGCTGATCGTGGACTACAGGAAACAGAGGGCCGACCACACACCCATCCACATCGACAGGGCTGTTGTGGAGCAGGTTGAGAGCTTCAAGTTCATCAATGTCCACATCACTAAGGAACTACCATGGTCCACAAACATCAACACAGTCATGAATAGGGCTCGACAACGCCTCTTCCCCCTTAGGAGGCTGAACATATTCGGCATGGGCCCTCAGATCCTCAAAAAGTTCTACAGCTGCACCATTGAGAACATCTTGACTGGCTGCATCACTGCTTGGTATGGCAACTGCTTGGCATCCGACCGCAAGGCGCTACAGAGGGTAGGGCGTACGGTCCAGTACATCACTGGGGCCAATCTCCCTGCCATCCAGGACCTCTATACCAGGCAGTGCCAGAGGAAGGCCCTGAGAATAGTCAAAGACTCCAGCCACCCAAGTCATAGACTGTTCTCTCTGCTACCACACGGCAAGCGGTACCGAAGCACCAAATCTGGAACCAACAAGACCCTGAACAGCTTCTACCCCCAAGCTATAAGACTGCTAAATAGTTAGTTAAATAGTTAACCAATGGCTAGCTACCAGGAATATCTGCATTGACCATTTTGCACTAACTCCTTTAACTCATCACATACGCTGATGTTACTGTTTATTATCTATCCCGTTGCCTAGTAAGTGTATCCTTACCTATATGTACAGTGCCTTCAGAAAGACATCATACCCATTGACTTTAGACATACTATCACGGATCCCCCCGGTACTGCTGCTCATTCCGTTCACCAGTTCCGGAGGTCTACGTCACTGGCTTTCTAGGCGTCACTGACATGGATCATTACCACCAACCCTGGACTGTCTTGTCTCATTACGCACACCTGGTTCCCATTCCCCCTGATTAGTATGTGTATATATGTGCCCTCTGTTCCCCATTGTCCTTGTTGATTATTGTCCCATGTCTGTTGGTCTCGTGAGTACCGTGTATTGTGCTCTGGTTGTTTACGGGTCTCGTCCCATGTATTGTGTAGAGGTTACACCTCGTTCTTTGTTTGGGTTACAGCCCTTTTGTATATATATACGTGTTTGTGTTGGGAGGAATAATAAAACCCCTAATACGTATTCCTGCGCCTGCAGTCCCTCCAGTCTCCAGCACTGGTTCCGGCACCAGCCCCCACACCACCACTACCTGCCTCCGTTCCCTGAGCTGGTCCACAGAATACCCCTGTCCCTCCCGGAGCGCTTTGACAGCGCACCAGCGAGATGCAAGGGATTCCTTCTGCAATGCGACCTGTACCTCGCTCGCTACGCCGAGGCTGTCTCCGGGAGAGACAGGGTTGCCGCAGTCATCTCGGTACTGACCGGACGGGCCCTGGACTGGGGTGCCGCGGTTTGGGAAACGGGCGGACCCGAGGTCGAGTTCTCGAGCGCTTCACCCTCCTCTTCCACTCGGTGTTTGATCATCCTGTGGAGGGCCGAGAGTGGGATGAGTGTCTACTTCGACTACGCCAGAGATCTAGGACCACCTCGGAGTTCACCCTGGAGTTCCGGACCATCGCGGCCTCCACCAGATGGAACGAGTCGGCTCTGGTCACCATGTTCCGCAGCGGACTGCAGGAGGAGGTACAGATGGAGTTAGCATGCCGTGATGACAACCTGTCACTCGACCAGCTCATCAGCATGGCGATCCAGTTGGAGAACCTCCTGCGGTCCGGACGAGGACCTGAGCGGAATCCAGAGCCCATGGCTACACCTGCTCCGTGGCCAGAGCCGATGGAGGTGTGCTCTGTACGTTTGCTCGAGGCAGAGCGTAGGAGAAGGAGGAATCTAGGCCTCTGCTCCTATGGTGGAGAAAGGGGTCATTTCTCCCCGACCTGCCCTCTATCAACTAATAGGCGAGGAGGTGACAAGCCAGGGAATTCCCCTGCTCCAACACAGGCAGAGGAGAGGCAGGAAGAGGAGACCCCCATCATCCCTCCGTTCCGTATCATCCCAGAGGACATTGTGTCAGACCATGTTCCTCAGTTCACCTCACGCGTATGGAAAGAGTTCATGGAATGCCTGGGGTTCACGGTCAGTCTCACCTCCGGGTACCATCCTCAAGCTAATGGGCAGGTGGAGAGGGTCAATCGGGAAATGGGCAGGTTCCTGAGGTGTTACTGTCAGGACCGGCCAGGGGAGTGGGCGGATTTTCTACCTTGGGCCCTGGCACCTTGGCATCCGAGCCAGACCGAGGTCTCTGTGGTGGACGAGTGGTTTCGGCGCACTGAGGAGATCTGGAACGCTGTGCACATTCGTCTCCAGCGGGCCGTGCGTCGGCACAAGGAACAGGCCGACCGCTACCGTTCACCAGTTCCAGAGGTCTACGTCACCGGCTTTCTAGGCGTCACTGACATGGATCATTACCACCAACCTCGGACTGTCTTGTCTCATTACGCACACCTGGTTCCCATTCCCCCTGATTAGTATGTGTATATATGTGCCCTCTGTTCCCCATTGTCCTTGTCCATTATTGGCCCATGTCCGTTGGTCTCGTGAGTACCGTGTATTGTGCGCTGGTTGTTTACGGGTCTCGTCCCGTGTATTGTGTAGAGGTTACACCTCGCTCATTGTTTGGGTTACATCCCTTTTGTATGTATATATATGTGTGTTTGTGTTGGGTGGAGTAATACAACCCCTAATACGCATTCCTGTGCCTGTCTTCTAATCATCATACAACGTGACACATAAGAGTTACCACACCCGGTCTCAGAAATGGCTAACTCTGGAAATTCCTTTGGTCTCTACTACTGAGTTAGGTAAATCAGCTTTTAGTTTTCTTGCACCTTATTTGTGGAACAATCTTCAAAATGTTCTTAAATTTGATGTTCTGGTGCCTCTAGGGCAATTCAGAAAGCTGATTGAGGACCTTATTACTGATGAATGTGTTTGTTATTTATGACCGTGTTTTTCTTTCTGCTTGCATTTTGTATTTATATTTTGATGTGTGTATTTTCTGTAAAAGAGACCTTGGTCTCAGTATGACTCCCTGATAAAATAAAGGTTCAATAAAATAAAAATATAGGCCTAGATGTACAGTAGCCTAATGCATGAGCTATTAGGCCTAGTGCGAGGAACTATAATGCATGACATAAGTGAAGGCAGGAGTCTATGTTTTGCTGTAATAAAGCAGAATCATAGCTAAAAATTTAATGAAAAATACAAATGACAGATGCATGTGACAAAAAGCATTGTCAACATACAGTGCCTTCAGAAAGTTACCATACCCCTTGACTTATTCCACATTTTGTTGTTACAACTTGAATTCAAAATTGATTAAATTGATTTTTTCTCACCCATCTACACAGAATAGCCCATAATGACAAAGTGAAAACAAGTTTTTAGACATTTTTGCAAATTTATTTAAAATGAAATCTCATTTACATAAGTATTCACACCCCTGAGTCAATACTTTGTAGAATCACCTTTGGCAGCGATTACAGCTTTGAGTCTTTCTGGGAAAGTCTCTAAGAGCTTTCCACAACTGGATTGTGCAACATTTGCTCATTATTCTTTTCAAAATTCTTCAAGCTTTGTCAACGTGGTTGTTGATCATTGCTAGACAACCATTTTCAGGTGTTGCCATAGATTTTCAAGTAAATCGAAGTCAAAATTGTAACTCGGCCACTCAGGAACATTCACTGTCTTCTTGGTAAGCAAGTATAGATTTGGCCTTGTGTTTTAGGTTATTGTCGTGCTGAAAAGTAAATTAACCTCCCAGTTTCTGGTGGAAAGTCGACTGAACCAGGTTTTCCTCTAGGATTTTGCCTGTGTTTAGCTACATTCCGTTTAATTTTTATCCTTAAAAACTCCCCAGTCCTTTTACAAGCATACCCATAACATGATGCAGCCTAGACTATGCTTGAAAATATGGAGAGTGGTACTCAGTACTGTGTTCTATTGGATTTGCCCCAAACATAATACTTTGTATTCAGGACAAACATTTAATTGCTTTGCTACATTTTTTGCAGTATTACTTTAGTGCCTTTTTGCAAACAGGATGCATGTTTGGGAGATTTGTATTCTCTACAGGCTTCCTACTTTTCACTCTGTCAATTAGGTTAGTATTGTGGAGTAACTACAATGATGTTGATCCATCCTGAGTTTTCTCCTGTCACAGCCATTAAACTCTGTAACTGTTTTAAAGTCACCATTGGCCTCATAGTGAAATCCCTGAGCGGTTTCCTTCCTTTCCGGCAACTGAGTTAGGAAGGATGCCTGTATCTTTGTAGTGACTTGGTATATTGATACATCATCCAAAGTGTAATGTATAACTTCACCATGCTCAAAGGGATATTCATTGTCAGCTTTTTATTTTTACCCATCTGCCAATAGGTTCCCTTCTTTGTGAGGCATTGGAAAACCTCCCTGGTCTTTGTGGTTGAGTTGGTGTTTGAAATTCACTGCTCGACTGAGGGACCTTACAGATAATTGTATGTGTTGGGTACAGAGATGAAGTAGTCGTTCATGTTAAACACTATTATTGTACACAGAGTGAGTCCATGCAACTTATTATGTGACTTGTTAAGCAAATTTGTATTCCTGAACTTATTTAGGCTTGCAATAACAAAGGGGTTGAATACTTATTGACTCAAGGCATTTCAGCTTTTCATTTAAATTTTTGAATTCAGGCTGTAACCCCCCCCACGGGGGGCCAGTATAAAAATAAAATATGTATTCACTAACTGTAAGTCGCTCTGGATAAGAGCGTCTGCTAAATGACTAAAATGTAAATGTAAATGTAAAAAGTCAAGGGGTATAAATACTTTCTGAAAGCACTGTACATATCTACCTCAATTACCTCGCACCCCTGCACATGGACTCGGTACTGGTACCCCGTGTATATAGCCAACTTATCATTACTCATTTTGTTATTATTCTGTGTGTTATTATTTTTCTATTTATTCCTTGTGTTATTATTTTTCTATTTATTCCTTGTGTTATTATTTTTCTATTTATTCCTTGTGTTATTATTTTTATATTTTCATACTATTTCTCTTTTTTCTCTCTCTCTGCATTGTTGGGAAGGCCCGTAATTAAGCATTTCACTGATAGTCTACACCGTTTGTTTACGAAGCATGTGACAAATAAAATTTGATTTGATTAGGACCATGACAGGCCCACTAGCTACTGTAATTAAAACATAATGGGGCCCCTCCACTACGAGAGAAAGAGGAATGTGGTTGCTAAGCCTACCCTTAATTCCTCAAGTTCTGCTATTTAATGTGTGTGACTGGCTCTTTAAAGGAAAATCCCTAACACCAGTTACATAGGCATTGATTGCTAAATAGGTCAGATTTAACAGGTCAAGGCAAATCTCAAATCTATGGGCTCCATTCGAAAAAAGCAACATCCTGTTGAGCTGCGAGAGTGTGGGCGTTTGGGCTAATCGAATCAATAAAACCATACTTACAACGTCAAAATGTATATACATTCAAACCCGCTCTCTCTTTTTCAGTGCAGGAATACATTTTTGTTTATCCCTGAAACTTCCAGATTTCCATCTTGATTATATCTGTTTTCTTGCTGTAAGCAATCAGGGGGTTATCTTCATGGTCTGTCCAGGAATGATGAGTTGTGTTCTCCACATTGACGTCATGCATCCTGCCTTTCCATGGCCCTGTTTATCTCCGCTCCCTTCCCCTTTCCTTCATTCTTTTCTTGGCCTCATCCTCAATTATCCTCACTGATGTATTGTCTATGTGAAACCAATGGGCATTTCATGCCTTTTTGTTTTTTATCTTAAATGTTATGAATGTTGACTGCTGACCGTGAGTATAAGTAAAGCCTTGACTGTAAAGATCTGATAATAATTGAGGATTTCCCCTCTAACCCCTCATGTCCTGTGCTATTGTGTCAGTGTGTGGTTAACTTCATATCCTCTATGGTCATATCGCTTTCCTCCATTGTGTCCTCAAATATAGAGCCCAAATCAACAATCAGTGGCAGGGGACGTATGAATATCTAGACATAGGAAAATACATTAACAATCTACCGTATGTACAGTTATTTGGACCATCACACTAAACTATACATGGGAGTGTTTCTGACACCCGTATAGAAATGTTTTCTCAAAGCATGGGGCGATTGTCTTTTCTTTTGTACCACACCCTAGAAAAGTGTTGATTCAAATTTGAATTGAACATGTCCAAGTGACCTCACTGTTGAACCTTCTAGTACCTTCTTCCAGGTGATCACAGGGGTGGGGATTCCAATGGCCTCGCAGCTCAGGTAGACCTGGGAGCCTGTGACATTGTAGACCTCACCAGGGGATGTGACAATGACAGGTGCTGTAGAGGAGGATAGGTAGAAAGAAAAAAAGGTGAGACAATTGAGTGGATTTAATATCTCCTTCAAATCAACCTGTAACACTTATCTTTACCTTGGGCGGAATCAGAGATAGCTCTGGTGTAATCCCCTGGGACAAGATGATACAGGTCGGAAATGTCAGAGCAGGAATGTAATGTTTGTGATCCGATTGATGCGTTTTATATAAATGAGTGAGCGTGTTATACATGAACAGATGGCGGCTCCAGTCCTTTTAGCCGTTCCAAAAGGAATTCATGGGAATCTTACAGTAAGTGGTGGAGCTGATATAACATGGACCACATCAAGGAGTTTGGAGTTAATTCTGTTAGTTAGGAATTTGATGAAATATTAAGCATACTTTCTCCCCTCGATTTTCTCATGCCAGTCAGAATTAGTTCAACATGACCTCTGTTTAGTTTCTCAATATGAACACTGGACATTACTGTAATTGCCTTTGAAACATTGGGACAGGCTTTATGCTGACTTGCACCAATTAAAATTATTATTAATTCTGAAAAACAAAGCTGGCAATCTGTTTAGCTCAAACAGAATTTTCTGTAAGTTTCTATGGGTCAAGAAAATAATTTGTTGCAATTACATCACATCACACTTCTGGCACATAATACTTTACATTTGATCCACAAGTGTGGACAAAAACGTAGCTTTACTGAAATGTTATTTTAGTTATGATGAATAGGCTTTGAATGACAAGGGTTGCAAAGTAAGGGTCTCTTTAGAACAATGTTATGACGAAACAGCAGGCCTATGGAAGATTGACTATGTTGTCTTTTCAATGCTATGTACTCCAACCCAAGGAATGGATATGATATGATAATGAGGATCATAAATAAGCGCTGACTCATATAGTTAGAGGCCCCTGTTGTTTTGAGTTCCGGTGAAATTTAATGTCACCAGTTAAGTAAGGTCAATAAAATCCTCCCCTGAAACCACAGCCCTAGGCCAATGAACCCTGAGAAAACAAGAACAACTTGGAGTGGAGAGTATGAAAATGTATGCATTCACTAACTGTAAGTCGCTCTGGATAAGAGCGCCTGCTAAATGACTAAAATGATTTTTTTTAAATGTTCAAGGCCAACATTCCTCTAACGTTATGTTAACTTTGACCTGTCTGAGAGCCCGCAGGGTGCAGCTAAAGTGGCTGTCTGACCTCGCCCTGTTGTATATGGGCAAATTAGCAAGAGTCTGGGGCCATTCGACTTTTTCTGCCAGCTAGCCAGGTTTTTTCCCGCCTTCTTTTTCCACGTCTTGAACCCTTTCGCCTGCCTAATCCAGAGCTGGCATGCAGTTATAATTAATCATGTGAAGGTTCACTGAACTAGACACTGCTGGCTTTGCTTTAAACCAACAGGGCCTGTCTGTGTGTTTGTAGGCGAGGCGCTGCTGTTTGATCGACAGTCATCCTCCTTTACAAAATGTACAATCCTTCCCCTGGAGGGTGGAATCTCAGACATGTCTGTTCAGGGCTATATGTTCTATAGAGGGTGCCACCCCTGACTGGAGACAACAGCTTTCAGCGTGTTCAGTGGCTGGCTTTAGTTTGATCTGGTTGTTTTGGAAGGGTTATAAAGATAGAGGATGATGTAGACCTTGTCCACACCCAGCGGACAGTGCCACAGATTTTCCATAGTTCTCAGTTAGTTATTCTATCAAGTAACTAGATAACACTCATGTCTCTGCATGGGTCCCAAGACAAATCAGTGTATTGTGACAGTGATGTACAACAACAATGTAAGTTGATGGTGCATTGGACAGTAGTCAAATCAAGACCATTTAGAATCAGTTCATGCTAGGCAAACATTGACAATAGGTCATAGAGAGATACCATCAGTGGTGGTTAATACATTAACATTATTTGCATTGTGTAAATGGTTATTGATTATGCCAGAAAGCTTATAGCAAGCATATCACACTTTAAAAAAAATAAAAAAAAATAATATAATAACTCTTACTGATTGAGGGGAAGAGATGAGTCAAGATGAAAGTGAACAGTCACACCAAAGTGTAATATCGTAGGCCCCTTGGTGAACTATTGGCTATCAGGCCAGAATGTATATGACATGGATGAGAATTATTGTAGCGTGATACACCAAATAAAAGCAGTGTTTCCAAAATAGACAGAATTCAATTTCCACTAGCCTACTACTGCGCTCTGTAAAATAAGTGGACCGTTATCTGCCATTCCCCCCATTCTCACCTGTTGAGCATTTTCCTTTATTCAGGATCTTGATTTCAGGCTTCTCCTCGCTCACCGCTTTCAGGCTGGCAACTTTCAAGTCGCAACCAGTTTTATAAGTCACCCCATCCGAGCCACACACTTCGTAGTTGGTCTTGCAGGCGCAAACGCCGAGCTTAGTCTTTTTGTCCTTGTCGCTCTTTACGCACTCCAGTCCAGAGGCGCAACGCTTGGCTGTGGCTCCGCGCCCCCCACATGGCTCCCCGGATCCAGACGCGCAAAGTGAACAACAACCACAGGAGTCAAAAATCGTGCCAGACTTGCAGCCCTCCTCTGGAAGAGGGTCGCACAGGCTGGGTTCGCAAGTGCCACAGGTGCGCGGCACACGGTCCGCAGATGCGGACGCAAGTGACAACGACACGACCACGGCGAAAAGCACCAACATGTTGATGCTGAGTTTACAGTGGTGCTTCTGTATTGCCATGGCTGTCTCATACAGTGTAAAGCACTGTACAGTTCTTATTAGCGATTTTGTTGAAGCTCAACCCCGCCCCCAAAATCCCCTCCTTTGACTTCCATGTCTCTCCATAAAAGTTATTGGTCTAAATCCCCATTTTAAATTGACTTTGCAATTAACCAAAAACACCACAGTTAATACAAAAATAATGTTTCATTTTACTGAAGTAACTTCAACCCAATTACTTCAACTTTGTGAACACATCTAATGTAATCAACGATTTCTGGATCACATAATGAGATTCACATTCAATAAATAAACATTTTATGCAATTTACACTGAATGTTCAAAGTACAAATCTAGCATCCACTGATCATCCACGACTATGGTCGTCATCAGGTAAATCAAGGGGTGGCGGTCTGTGTATATTTGTAAACAACAGCTGGTGCACAAAATCAAATACTAAGGAAGTCTCAAGGTTTTGCTCGGCTGAGGTAGAGTGTCTTATGATAAGCTGTAGACCACACTATTTACCAAGAGAGTTTTCATCTATATTTTTCATAGCTGTCTTTTTACCACCACAAACCAATGCTGGCATTAAGATTGCACTCAAGTAGCTGTATAAGGCCATAAGTGAACAGGAAAACGCTCATCCAGAGGCAGCGCTCCTAGTGGCCGGGGACTTTAATGCAGGGAAACTTAAATCCGTTCGACCTAATTTCTACCAGCATGTTAAATGTGCAACCAGAGGAAAACAAACTCTAGACGACCTTTACTCCACACACAGAGATGCATACAAAGCTCTCCCTCGCCCTCCATTTGGCAAATCTGACCATAACTCTATCCTCCTGATTCCTGCTTATAAGCAAAAACTAAAGCAAGAAGCACCACTAACTCGGTTAATAAAAAAGTGGTCAGATGACGCAGATGCTAAACTACAGGACTGTTTTGCTAGCACAGACTGGAACATGTTCCGGGATTCTTCAGATAGCATTGAGGAGTACACCACATCAGTCACTGGCTTCATCAATAAGTGCATCGATGACGTCGTCCCTACAGTGACCGTACGTACATCCCCAACCAGAATCCATGGATTACAGGCAACATCCGCACTGAGCTAAAGGGTAGAGCTGCCGCTTTCAAGGAGCGTGACTCTAACCCGGACGCATATAAGAAATCCTGCTATGCCCTCCGATGAACCATCAAACAGGCAAAGAGTCAATACAAGTCTAAGATTGAATCTTACCACACCGGCTCTGACATTCGTCGGATGTGGCAGGGCTTGAAAACTATTACAGACTACAAAGGTAAGCACAGCCGCGAGCTGCCCAGTGACACAAGCCTACCAGACGAGCTAAACCACTTCTATGCTTGCTTCGAGGCAAGCAACACTGAAGCATGCATGAGAGCACCAGCTGTTCCGGATGACTATGTGATCACGCTCTCCGTAGCCGATGTGAGTAAGACTTTTAAGCAGGTCAACATTCACAATACCGCAGGGCCAGACGGATTACCAGGACGTGTACTCAGAGCATGTGCTGACCAACTTGCAAGTGTCTTCACTGACATTTTCAACATGTCCCTGACTGAGTCTGTAATACCAACTTCTTTCAAGCAGACCACCATAGTCCCCGTGCCCAAGGACACTAAGATTACCTGCCTAAATGACTACCGACCCGTAACACTGACGTCTGTAGCCATGAAGTGCTTTGAAAGGCTGGTCATGGCACACATCAACACTATCCCAGAAACCCTAGACCCAATCCAATTTGCATACCGCCCCAACAGATCCACAGATGATGCAATCTCTATTGCACTCCACACTGCCCTTTCCCACCTGGACAAGAGGAACACCTACGTGAGAATGCTATTCATTGACTACAGCTCAGCGTTTAACACCATAGTGCCCTCAAAGCTCATCACTAAGCTAAGGATCCTGGGACTAAACACCTCCCTCTGCAACTGGATCCTGGACTTCCAGACGGGCTGCCCCCAGGTGGTAAGGGTAGATAACAACACATCTGCCACACTGATCCTCAACACGGGGGCCCCTCAGGGGTGCATGCTCAGTCCCCTCCTGTACTTCCTGTTCACCCATGACTGCATGGCCAGGCACGACTCCAACAACATCATTAAGTTTGCCGACGACACAACAGTGGTAGGCCTGATCACCGACAACGATGAGACAGCCTATAGGGAGGAGGTCAGAGACCTGGCCATGTGGTGCCAGGATAACAACCTCTCCCTCAACGTGACCAAGACAAAGGAGATGATTGTGGACTACAGGAAAAAAAAGAGGACTGAGCACGCCCCCATTCTCATCGACGTGGCTGTAGTGGAACAGGTTGAGAGCTTCAAGTTCCTTGGTGTCCACATCACCAAAGAACTATCATGGTCCAAACACACCAAGACAGTCATGAAGAGTTTACGACAAAGCCTATTCCCCCTCAGGAGACTGAAAAGATTTGGAAATGGGTCCTCAGATCCTCAAAAAGTTATACAGCTGCACCATCGAGAGCATCCTGACTGGTTGCATCACCGCCTGGTATGGCAACTGCTCGGCCTCCGACCGCAAGGCACTACAGAGGGTAGTGCGTACAGCCCAGTACATCACTGGGGCCAAGCTTCCTGCCTTCCAGGACCTCTATACCAGGCGGTGTCAGAGGAAGGCCCTCAAAATTGTCAAAGACTCCAGCCACTCTAGTCATAGACTGTTCTCTCTGCTACCGCACGGCAAGCGGTACCGGAGCGCCAAGTCTAGGTCCAAAAGGCTTCTCAACAGCTTCTACCCCCAAGCCATAAGACTCCTGAACAGCTAATCATGGCTACCCTGACTATTTGCACTGCCCCCCCACCCCCACCCCATCTTTTTACGCTGCTGCTACTCTGTTAATTATTTATGCATAGTCACTTTAACTCTACCCACATGTACATATTACCTCAACTACCTCAACTAGCCGGTGCCCCTGCACATTGACTCTGCACCGGTACCCCCCTGTATATAGCCTCCCAACTGTTATTACATATTTTTCTCAACACTTTTTTGTTGTTGTTGTTGTTTTATTTTACTTTTTTATAAAAAAATTAATGCATTGTTGGTTAAGGGCTGTAAGTAAGCATTTCACCTGTTGTATTCGGCGCATGTGGCAAATACAATTTGATTTGATTTGATCTTAAATAAAAAAGTGTGCACATCATTTGCCAGTTAATCACAACACCAAGTTATCCTGGGTAGAACAGGGAGTGGTTGCCTTTCAAAGTAAACATGCATGTACATGTTACAGTATACACCAGTCATATAGAGATCTTGATACTGACTTGGTTTGTCAGATATGGATGTATTGGATATGTCCACAAGGTCTGATTCTCTCTGATAGACCATCACCCAATCTAGATCTTGGTTCAGTGGTCACCAACCCTGGTCCTGGAGAGATACAGTGTACAGCGCAGGTGTATGTGCCAACCCAGTGCTAACACGTGATTATTCAGCTAATCATTAATACCTTGATTGGCTGAATTGGGGAAGGAGCTTTAGGGTTGATTTAGGATTGAAAGTCTCTTATCCAGTATGAGATGAAAAATCGTTTTCACTTGATGTATTTGGAAACGAAGGAGGAAGCACTGTCCCTTTAAGGCGTGTCTGAGTCGGGGCGCGTGGAGGGGATGTGGCACAGCCTCCGGAAGCGAGGTGAGCGCAGGAGCAGATTGTGTCCCAGTCCCACACAAATGGAGCTCAACCAGTACAGAGCCATGGACTGGGGAAGAATGAGGAGGGGAAAAGGAGAGCGTATCAATCTTTGGCATTCAGCATAGACAAATAAGCAAGGTTTAATACCATGCATAGCCTTTAAATAAAATTCAACTGGAAGCTTTAAAAATAGAGGTGCATATGGGCAGCCCTTCAGAATTATATCTGAAAAAGCATACGACACATCACCCTACTAGAATATATCTAACTAAACCAAAGGTCAGGAAAAGCCTCTGATTTTTTCAGTCTCCCTTGCAGGATTTCACAAGGCCGACTCTCACGTGGACCAGTGTTTTGGGATTCTCTTTGGCAGATCGACTTCTTATGTAAACATCATGGTGCTCCAAAGGAAGACAACAAAATCACACTCCAGATTATCGAGTAAGATTGCAGGGGGCTAGATTGGGAGGATGCATCAGTGTACCTGGGAAAGAGTGATATAGGGCTTTCAAAACCAGACGAGGCTCTTCAGGGACAAGCAGGGTTTGTCTGTTGCAACATCTGCCCAACTGTAAAGTGTACAGTGTGTGTGTGTGTGTGTGTGTGTGTATGTCTCTGACTGTGTGTGTGTGTGTGTGTGTGTGTGTGTGTGAGTGTGATTGTGTGTATGTCTCTGACTGTGTGTGTGTGTGTATCTTCCAGATAAGAGAGACGTCCTGTGCATGGGTCTGTGGACTTGGTGGAATTGTCACTAAAGTCGGGGAGAAAACATCCTCAGTGTGTTTTCAACTATTACCATTTAGGTGGGCTTCTAAATAAAGTGTTCCTCTCATCCATCCCTTATGTAATGTAATGGGTGGATAGGCTCACAGGGGCAATGGGAGTTAGGGAGACGTGGGAGACAGAGGTGGCTAAAGTATTTAGTTTCAGAGCTAGTGGGAGGGTGTTAACATAGGGCTGGCTAGTGAAATGTGCTAGCTGTCTGTTAATCTACAGGGGAAAGTGATGTGGCATGTCTAACAGCTTTTGTGATTAAATGTAAAAAGGCTAAAAACGTTTCTGGTTTGTGGTTGCGTGTGCAGACAAGCATGCAGACATGCATGTGCATACATGCAGACATATGTACACGCATGCATGAGCACGGATGGACGCACACACATGCACGAACACAATAATTTATACGCACACGCACGCACGCACGCACACACACACACACAGAAACTTACTGAGGGCACGGTGGCAGCTATGGGGATCATCACCAGAGAGATCCCTTGATAAAGTTGGTTACATACTTCTGGAACCTGGATGCTTCTATCCTCTGCAGAGCAAATACCTGGCAACACATAGAAACCAGACGTAATAAGGTCAACGTCTCAATATTCTCATTCCTAGTAGGAAATACATTATGTATATTCATGGATCAGTGAGGGATGCAGAATGACCAAACTAAAATCAAAAACAGATGTGTCAATCACATACAGTATGTCTGAATCAGGGCGGCAGGTAGCCTAGCGGTTAAGAGCGTTGGGACAGTAACCGAAAGGTCGCTGGTTTGAATCCCCGAGCTGACTAGTTGAAAAATCTGTCCTTGAGCAAGATACTTAACCCTAATTGCTCCGGAGGAGAGCGTCTGCTAAATTACGTAAATGTAAAACTCTTTTAGCAACCCTGCTCATATCTCTATCCTTTGCAAATATATCACAGTAGAAATATATTGTGAGTTTAACACAGGTCTAGCTGAAAGCACATCAGGTGAGGAGTGTCCTCTTGTAAAAAAACAAAGCAGCCAGAGGGTCTGAATACTGGGTGGATCAAAGCTCTCCTCTAAAAGGGTTCCCTATTGTGTGTCTAATTGAGGTGATGAGGCCCAGGGAGACGGGTATGATCCAAGTGGAGTCAGGCAATGTCAGGTCAGAGAACCATAGAGCGCCCCCTACTGCCAGCTCTGTCTGCAACACTGAAATAAATACAGTATTAATCAATTCATATTTTAAATATTCCATAGTCAGAATAAAGCAGTACATATGTGATTATGTCTCTTGATGAAGATACAACAGCCTTGATTGTGAATTGATTGATTTATTGAGTAGGTGAGTGAGTGTGGAGGTTTGCCAGTGGCGGCATCAGACACCACCAGGCTCAGGATCCGCAGGGCCAGAGAGAGGCACACCCACATGGGCAGCTGCACCCATACCAGCAGGCTGGCCTTGAAGGGGTGGCAGTTATCTCTCACATACAGCTCAGACACTATTCTCTTCAGGTTCTTCTTGAATTGGTATCTAATGGGACACAAAGGATTTTTTAAGGAAGTTAAACCTCATAGCTGACATTGGAAAGCTGATACAGTGTAATGTATCAGTTGTCAGTTGAACAACATGGAATTTCATCATAGAAGTTAAATTCTATTTCATAACTAATCAGATCTATACTGAACAAAAATATAAATGCAACATGTAAAGTGTTGGTCCCATATTTCATGAGCTGAAATAAAAGATCCCAGAAATGTTCCATACGCACAAAAAGCTAATTTCTCTCAAATGTTGTGCACAAATGTGTTTACATCCCTGTTAGTGAGCATTTCTCCTTTGCCAAGATAATCCATCCACCTGACAGGTGCACCTTGTGCTGGGGACAATAAAAGGCTACTTTAAAATGTGCAGTTTTGTCACACAACACAATGCCAAAGATGTCTCAAGTTTTGAGGGAGCGTGCAATTGGCATGCTGACTGCAGAAATGTACACCAGAGCTGTTGCCAGACAATTTAATGTTAATTTCTCCACCATAAGCCACCACCAACGTTGTTTTAGAGAATTTGGCAGTACGTCTAACATGCCTCACAACTGCAGACCACGTGTAACCACGCCAGCCCAGGACCTCCACATCCGGCTTCTTCACCTGCGGGATCGTCTGTGACCAGCCACCTGGATAGCTGATGAAACTGTGGGTTTGCACAACCAAAGAATTTCTGCACAAACTGTCAGAAACCGTCTTAGGGAAGCTCATCTGCATGCTCGTTGTCCTCACCGGGGTCTTGATCTGACTGTAGTGGGCAAATTCTCACCTTCGATGGCCACTGGCACGTTGGAGAAGTGTGCTCGCATGGATGAATCCCAGTTTCAACTGTACTGGGCAGATGGCAGACAGCGTGTATGGCGTCGTGTAGCCGAGCAGTTTGCCCCATGGTGCCGGTGGAGTTATGATGTGGTCAGGCATAAGCTACGGACAACGAACACAATTGCATTTTAATGATGGCAATTTGAATGCACAGAGACACCGTGACGAGATCCTGAGGCCCATTGTTGTGCCATTCATCCGCTGCCATCACCTCATCTTTCAGCATGATAATGCACGACCCCATGTCGCAAGGATCTGTACACAATTCCTGTAAGCTGAAAATGTCCCACTTCTTCCATGGCCTGCATACTCACCAGACATGTCACCCATTGAGCATGTTTGGGATGCTCTGGATCTACGTGTATGACAGCCTGTTCCAGTTCCCGACAATATCCAGCAACTTCACACAGCCATTGAAGAGGAGTGGGACAACATTCCACAGGCCACAATCAACAGCCTGATCAACTCTATGTGAAGGAGATGTGCTGCGCTGGTGGTCACACCAGATACTGACTGGTTTTCTGATCCACGCCCCTACCTTTTTTTCAAGGGACCAACAATGCAGAGTTTTTAGTAATTAAATAAACTAAAGTTTTAAAAAAGTAACACAATAAACAAACAATAATGAGACTATATACAGGCAGTACCGGTACCGAGTCAATGTGCGGTTGTACAGGTTAGTCGAGGTAATTGAGGTAATATGTAGGGGTAAAGTGACTATGCAGAGAAAGTAAACAGCGAGTAGCAGGAGCGTAAAAAAGGGGGTCAATGCAAATAGTCCAGGGAGCCATTTAATTAACTGTTTAGCAGTCTTATGGCTTGGGGGTAGAAGCTGTTAAGGAGCCTTTTGGACCTAGACTTAGCGCTCCGGTACCGCTTGCTGTGCGGTAGCAGAGAGAACTGTCTATGACTTGGGTGGCTGGAGTCTTACCAAGCAGTGATGCAGCCAGTCAAGATGCTCTCGATGGTGCAGCTGTAGAACTTTTTGAGGATCTGAGGACCCAAACCAAATCTAGGCATTGTCGTGCCCTCTTTATGACTGTCTTGGTGTGTTTGGACCATAATAGTTTGTTAGTGTTGTGGACACCAAGGAACTTGAAGCTCTCGACCCGCTCCACTACAGCCCCGTTGATGTGAATGGGGGCGTGCTTGGCCCTCCTTTTCCTGTAGTCCACAATCAGCTCCTTTGTCTTGATCACGTTGAGGGAGAGGTTGTTGTCCTGGCACCACACTGCCAGGTCTCTGACCTCCTCCCAATAGGCTGTCGTTGTCGGTGATCAGAACTACCACCGTTGTGTCGTCGGCAAACTTAATGATGGTGTTGGAGTCATGCATGGCCATGCAGTCGTTGGTGAACAGGGAGTACAGGAGGGGACTAAGCACTCAGCCCTGAGGGGCAACCGTGTTGAGGATCGGCGTGGCAGATGTGTTGTTGCCTACCCTTACCACCTGGGGGCAGCCCATCAGGAAGTCCAGGATCCAGTTGCAGGGGGAGGTGTTTAGTCCCAGGGTCCTTAGCTTAGTGATGAGCTTTGAGGGCACTATGGTGTTGAACGCTGAGCTGTAGTCAACGAACAGCATTCTCATATAGGTGTTCCTTTTGTCCAGGTGGGAATAAGAGCACTTCCTCCCAGCTGCCCACTGCACTGAGGCTAGGAAACACTATCACCACCGATAAATCTACAATAATCAAGAATTTCAACAAGCATTTTGCTACGGCTGGCCATGCTTTCCACCTGGCTACCACTACCCCGGCCACCAGCTCTGCACCCTCCGCTGCAACTTGCCCATGCCCCCCCCGCTTCTCCTTCACACAAATCCAGACAGCTGATGTTCTAAAAGAGCTGCAAAATCTGGACCCCTACAAATCATCTGGGCTAGACAATCTGGACCCTTTCTTTCTAAAACTAGCCGCCGAAATTGTCGCAACCCCTATTACTAGCCTGTTCAACCTCTCTTTCGTAACGTCTGAGATCCCCAGAGATTGGAAAGCTGCCGCGGTCATCCCCCTCTTCAAAGGGGGTGACACTCTAGATCCAAACTGTTACAGACCCATATCCATCCTGCCCTGCCTTTCAAAAGTTTTTGAAAGCCAAGTCAACAAACAGATCACCGACCATTTCGAATCCCACCGTACCTTCTCCGCTATGCAATCCGGTTTCCGAGCTGGTCATGGGTGCACTTCAGCCACGCTCAAGGTCCTAAACGATATTATAACCGCGATCGATAATAGACAGTACTGTGCAGCCGTTTTCATTGACCTGGCCAAGGCTTTCGACTCTGTCAACCACCGCATTCTTATTGGCAGACTAAATAGCCTTGGTTTCTCAAATGACTGCCTCGCCTGGTTCACCAACTACTTCTCAGATAGAGTTCAATGTGTCAAATAGGAGGGCCTGTTGTCTGGACCTATGGCAGTCTCTATGGGGGTGCCACAGGGTTCAATTCTTGGGCCGACTCTTTTCTCTGTGTATATCAATGACGTCGCTCTTGCTGCTGGTGACTCTCAGATCCACCTCTACGCAGACGACACCATTTTGTATACATCTGGCCCTTCATTGGACACTGTGTTAACAAACCTCCAAACGAGCTTCAATTCCATACAACACTCCTTCAGTAGCCTCCAACTGCTCTTAAACACTAGTAAAACTAAATGCATGCTCTTCAACCGAACGCTGCTTGCACCCGCCCACCCGACTAGAATCACTACTCTCGACGGGTCTGACCTAGAGTATGTGGACACCTACAAATATCTAGGTGTCTGGTTAGACTGTAAACTCTCCTTCCAGACTCACATTAAGAATCTCCAATCCAAAGTTAAATCTAGAATCGGTTTCCTATTTCGCAACAAAGCCTCCTTCACTCATGCTGCCAAACATGCCCTCGTAAAACTGACTATCCTACCGATCCTTGACTTCGGCGATGTCATTTACAAAATAGCCTCCAACACTCTACTCAGCAAATTGGATGTAGTCTATCACAGTGCCATCCGTTTTGTCTCCAAAGCCCCATATAATACCCACCACTGTGACCTGTACGCTCTTGTTGGCTGGTCCTCACTACATATTCGTCGCCAAACCCACTGGCTCCAGGCCATCTATAAATCACTGCTAGGCAAATCCCCGCCTTATCTTAGCTCATTGGTCACCATAGCAACACCCACCCGTAGTCTGCGCTCCAGCGGGTATATCTCACTGGTCATCCCCAAAGCCAACACCTCCTTTGGCCGCAATTCCTTCCAGTTCTCTGCTGCCAATGACTGGAACAAATTGCAAAAATCTCTGAAGCTGGAGACACTTATCTCCCTCACTAACTTTAAGCATCAGTTGTCAGAGCACCTTACCGATCACTGCACCTGTACACAGCCCATCTGAAATTAGCCCGCCCAACTACCTCATCCCTATATTGTTATTTATTTTGCTCATTTGTACCCCAGTATCTCTATTTGCACATCATCTCTTGCACATCTATCATTCCAGTGTTAATACTAATTGTAATTATTTTGCACTATAGCCTATTTTATTGCCTTACCTCCATAACTTGCTAAATTTGCACACACTGTATATTATATGTATTTCTGTTGTATTTTTGACTTTGTTTTGTTTTACCCTATATGTAACTCTGTGTTGTTGTTTTTATCGCACTGCTTTGCTTTATCTTGGCCAGGTCGCAGTTGTAAATGAGAACTTGTTCTCAACTGGTTTACCTGGTTAAATAAAGGTGAAATAAAAAAAATAAAAAAAAATAAAAGGGCAGTGTGGAGTGCAATAGACATTTACATTTTAGTCATTTAGCAGACGCTCTTATCCAGAGCGACTTACAGTTAGTGAATACATATTTTTTTTTTATACTGACCCCCCATGGGAATCGAACCCACAACCCTGGCGTTGCAAACGCCATGCTCTATCAACTGAGCTACATCCCTGCCGGCCATTCCCTCCCCTACCCTGGACGACGCTGGGCCAATTGTGCGCCGCCCATGAGTCTCCCGGTCGCGGCCGGCTGCGACAGAGCCTGGATTCGAACCAGGATCTCTAGTGGCACAGTTAGCACTGCGATGCAGTGCCTTAGACCACTGCGCCACTCAGGAGACATAATTGCATCATCTGTGGATCAGTTGGGGCGATATGTGAATTGTAGCGGGTCTAGGGTTTCTGGGATGATAGTGTTGATGTGAGCCATGACCAGCCTTTCAAAGCACTTCATGGCTACAGACGTGAGTGCTACGGGGCGGTCGTCATTTAGGCAGGTTACCTTGACGTTCTTGGGCACAGGGACTATGGTGGTCTGCTTGAAACATGTAGGTATTACAGACTCAGCCAGGGAGAGGTTGAAAATGTCAGTGAAGTCACTTGCCAGTTGGTCAGAGCATGCTCTGGGTACGCGTCCTGGAAATCCATCTGGCCCTGCGGCCTTGTGAATGTTGACCTGTTTAAAGGTCTTACTCACATTGGCTACGGAGAGCATGAACACAAAGTCGTCCGGAATAGCTGGAGCTCTCATGCATGGTTCAGTGTTGCTTGCCTCTAAGCGAGCATAGAAGGCATTTAGCTCGTCTGGTAGTCAGAGACGGTCTAGTAGGATTCAATCTTAGTCCTGTATTTACGCTTTACCTGTTTGATGGTTCGTCGGAGGGCATAGCGGGATTTCTTATAAGCGTCCAGATTAGTGTCCCGCTCCTTGAAAGCGGCAGTTCTAGCCTTTAGCTCAGTGCGGATGTTGCCTGTAATCCATGGCTTCTGGTTGGGATATGTACATATGGTCACTGTCGGGACGACGTCATCGATGCACTTATTGATGAAGCCGGTGACTGATGTGGTATACTCCTCAATGCCATCGTGTGAATCCCGGAACATATTCCAGTCTAGAAAAACAGTCCTGTAGCTAAGCATCTGCATCATCTGACCACTTCCGTATTGAGCGAGGCAGTGTGTTGTATTTCTGTTGATATGTATAGACTAGAGTCCCGAGGTTGGCGCCAAGCTCCCAGAGGCAGCCCTCCAGGTGCCTGGGTCAAAGGTCATTTCTTTACCGGCAGTGTTTTTCCATCCAGCCCTTCTCACTTGGCTCGCACTGAGATCTCGTAGCGCAGCCTTTTAGCCAGCTCCGCTATCTCCTCTTTCAGGGCTTCAACTTAGCTGGAGGCAAAGAGGAGCACGGGGGTTAACTTTGATTCAACATGGAGTCCCCCTGAAGTGCAGCCAAAAGTTATAAAATTACACTGCACACATTAGTAACCCAAAACTGGACATGGGTCGTAGAGGGAATCAGGCTAGCCAGGTATTCTGGTCACAAGGGAGCAATCTCTCTGAGTTATGACAACAAAACATTCAACCCGACTGCTCCTTTTTTAAATCAAGTTCTCAAAGTCCTCCAAGAGTCAGGGACCTTGATGTATTACAGCCAAATATTAAAGTCAAAATGCAGTTTTTCCTCATGATGACTCATGAAGGTCATTCACAGACTTGAGTAGAATACTGCTGCAGCAGTTGCTGCTGCTGCGTGTGTGTCTGTGTGTCTGTGTGTCAGGTCTGTGTGAGGGGGGAGCGATATGCTGACCCTTGTTCTCACACAGTGGGGGAGAGAGCAGCACTGGGGAGGGGAGGGAAAGGAGTAAGGGGAGGCAGGAAAAAAACTGGAAAAATAAACAACATCCCACAGCTGAGGAAGGACGTAGGAGTGGGAAAGAATGCTTAATAAGGCCAAGCGCACAGCAACGTTTGCACCAGTCACAGCATTGGCTGACTTTAAAATGCCTGTCATAGTTCCCCAGAATGTGTGTAAACATCTTGATATTCCTGGGATGCTTCAGTAACAGACAAAAGGATGGGAGACGAGGGAGTTTCAACAAGTGTCTCGTGTTCCCTCTGGTGGAATAGTGAGCAGCAGAGAACATCTCCCCATTGGGACTATATCATGTTTCACAGCCCACTTGTTTCACACAACAATATTGATGAGCACTTCAAATCACATTTCTTTCCTGATAAAATCTGATCTGGTTGTTTGGATACTGTACATTTACATTTTAAATTGTTTAGCAAATGATACATTACACCAGGGGTGTACCTCAATAGTCTAAAGAAGCTTCCTCCTCGTATCTCTTTTCCTTCACCTGCATCCATCTGTATTCACAAAATAGGTGAAACCACTTGTTGATGCTTCCTGGATATTTGCTTTCACCTTGTCAGTTCTTGCACATCTGTGCAGATGAGGAAGGATGCTACTTTACTTTAGACTATGGAGATGCACCCCAGGGCTTCTCAATCTCAACTCTGACCCTGTTGGGACTAGTGTGTGCACCAACAAGAGCTGAAAAAACACTTTGTATAATAGGATGCTTGTTTCTTGATGCAACACAGGCCTTTGCGATGATGACCGCCTGATAGGCTCTCAGTGGCAGTGTTACGACTGTCCTCAGGGCCACGGTGGTACACACGATACTGGCCCACCATGGTAGACCTGTGGTCTGATGGACAGATATCAGTAGTTGCTCAGTCAGATGGACAGGAGTAGAGTCTGCTATGCTCTCATACCAGCCTCTACCGCTGGTTGTAGATGCTGGTCTACAGGGCTGAAAGCATAAAGTTGATTTGACAGGCAGACTAGGACGGAGGCAGGATAATGTGGCCACCCAAAGAGGGATGTGGTTGCGGTGTGTTGTGTGGTGGTCACAGGCAATGGGAGTTCTGGATGAAAGGTGGTTGATTTGATGTAATGTCTGCAGTGAGCCAGGTCTCACGTGCCTGCTAATCTTCTGCGACAGCATTGTGACAAATCTTTAAGAGGACCATTTTTATGAGAAGTAGGCTTCATTTGTGAATGGGCTAAATAAGTTGCACAGTAGATTGTAAACCAACAGTCACCATTGGCACATTTGTATATAACTTGTTGCCTGTGTAGCTAGCTAGGTAGGCTGATAAATCAGACTGTGATACCAGCTTTCCAGGTTTTTGCAGTGCTTTGTTTCAGGCTGTGTTACCAGAAAGCTGGTAGCTGTCTGATTGATCAGCCTACCTAGTTAGCTACATGGGCAACAAGGTCAATGGACATTTGAACTTTTTTTTTTTTGCTTTGCTGCAACTTTAGAGGAATAGGAACCACTCATGAAATCTGTTGCAAACGAGCAGCAGCAAGGTTATCTTACAACTAAAACCTGGCTTTGGAGCTTAGCTACTAGTACATCATGTATTGCACATGAGCTAGCTATCTCATGCAGTTCGGATAAAGTTATACATTCTCACCTTCGTTCCAACTGCAGAAACTAATATTGAAAAAAATTATGTCCCAAATCTGTACATTACAACCCAGCAAGTTAAATCAAATAGTATCCATTTGTTATTGATTTCACCTCCATCTGCCAATAGTATCGAGGATATATAATGCCTGCAAAATACGCTTGTCAGTGAGACCAGTGACATTAGCACCACCTGGTGGAAACATATATGTCTGCCCCATAGAGATTGAGGACTCATCTTTGTATCTGTGCCTTTATGGCACAAATAGAACAATGAGCCAGATATTTCACTGGATGTATAAATGTGAAGCATCCGGTTGGCGTTTTCACTCACTACCAAATGTGGTGATGAGGGGAAGCCCAGTGGCCGGCGGTGGGAGAAGATGGAGTGAGATAGATTTTGTCCGACGTTCTGCAAATGTTCTCATCAATGAAATATTTGATGTCCATACAGTTTTCTGTTTCCAAAACTAGAATCTGTAACAAACAGAGTGGACTGCGTTTTGTAGACTTTGTAGACCCTTTGCCAAGTTGTGGAGTGCAAGGGCGAATTTAGTTATTGCACACTTGCACTTCACAGAGTAGGCGTTCCCTAACGGAAATATACAAATATTTGCTACAACGAGCCAATAGGATCTCACTAGCTTGTGCTTGGCTCTGCCCACCACCTTGCTTGTTCTGCCCACTATGATTAATTTGCTCCCATTGGAAACGACAGGTTCTGTCTGGTCTATCTTGGGTTAGTTGTAAAAATCTTTGATTATAGCGTCTGCAACAGCATGGGCAGTGCCATTGAGGCTATCTCCATTTTTAAGTCAATTTTCTTCAATCTCAGGGTGGACACTCTCCCACAAGGCCACTGATTTGCTGCTAGTGACTGTACTAGTAGCAGTAGTAGTAGTGTAGAATGCCCAAAGTCAATACTGTAGTAGGAGGAAAGTAAGCTGGGAAAGGAGGAAAGGGATGTAGGAAAGGAAGCTAGGGAAGGAAAGGAAGTAAGGAAAGGAGGAAAGGAAGCTAAGAAAGGAAGAACTTGATCTAGGAAAGGAGGAGAGGAAAGGTATCTAGGGAAGGAAAGGGAGCAAGGAAAAAAAGAAAGGAAGCTATGATAGGAGGAAAGGAAAGAGAGTTAGGAAAGGATTGGAGGAAAGAGAGCTAGCATAGCAAAGGAGGAAAGGAAGGAAAACGATCAAAGAAAGGATGCTAGGAAAGGAAATGTAGCTAGGAAATGATAGGAGGGAAGGAAGTTAGGGAAAGAAAGGGAAAAAGGAAATGAGGAAATTATGCTAGGAAAGGAGGAAAGAGATCTAGAAAAGGAGGAGAGGAAAGGAAGCTAGGGAATGAGAAATGGAAGATAGTAAAGACCAAGGAAAGGAAGCTAGGAAATAATAGGAGGAAAGGAGAAGAGGAAAGGAAGATAGGGAAAGAAAGAGAACAAGGAAATGAGGAAATAAAGCCAGGAAATGAGGAAAGGAAGCTAGGGAAGGATGAACGAAAGATGGGAAAGAAAAGAAGGGTAGGAAAGGAGGAAAGGAAAGATAGCTAGGAAAGGATAGGAGGAAAGTGAGTTAGGAAAGAAGTCATGGAAGATAAGAAAGACCAAGGAAAGGGAGCTAGGAAATTATATGAGGAAAGGAAGATAGGGAAGGAAGATAAGAAATGATTAAATTAAAGTGTACTAGGAAAGGAGGTGATGAGAGGTAGCCAGGGAAGGAAATGGAGCAAGGAAAAGAAGGTAGGAAAGGAAGCTAGTGAAGGAAAGGGAGCAAGGAATGGAGGGAAGGAAGCAAGGATAGGAGGAAAGAGAGTTAGGAAAGCAAAGGAGGGGAGGAAAGGAAGGAAGGGGATCTGGGAAAGCAAGCTAGGATAGGAAGACAAAATAAGATATGAAAGGAAGAAAGGAAGCTTGGCTACCAAAAGTAATTGTGATATATTAATTTTTACCTTATTTTTATGAGAATTGAGGATGCCCTAATCTGTAATCTGTAACATAAATCTGCACAAATTGATCTGTAAAACTCAACTCACAAATATGTAAAACGCAGGTCACAAGTGTCATCTGTGGAGTCACAAATGTTGTCATATTCAGAAAAACATATTTGACCACTGTTGTGTTTGCAAAGTAAAAAATATGTTTGTAAGAATGTGTGAGGTTAACCAGATTATTTGTTTTGAGAGTGGTCACATTTATCTAGCCAAATCCCTTAGCTTTTTACCCAAACTGTGATAGGGTGAGCCGATTTGTTATTGTTTGATTTTCAGATTGCCCCTTTAAAACTGATCAAACTGATCACCGATAATGACCTGATCTGTGTCTGTTTATACAATCATTTATACAATCATACAATCAATTTGACTTTGTTTTTACGAATCTAACTATACTGAACAAAAATATGAACGCAACATGCAACAATTTCAACGATTTTACTGAGTTACAGTATATATAAGGAAATCAGTCAATTGAAATAAATAAATTAGGCCCTAATCTATGGATTTCACATGTCTGGGCAGCGGCGCAGCCATGGGTGGGCCTGGGAGGACATAGGCCCACCCACTGGGGAGCCAGGCACAGCCAATCAGAATGTGTTTTTCCCCACAAAAGGGCTTTATTACAGACAGAATACTCCTGTGTCGTATCGAGTAAATGCTGGCAATTATTGCTGTCAAACAAAGGAGTCCGCTCATACTGAACCTTGATCATAAGTTTTATTCATATCACAAGCTTTCAGCATGAGTTACAGACTTGCAGGGTCTGGAGAAACAGCGTCCCAAACATAATCTGTCTGTTTCTGACCCCCTCTTTGTCTAGCCCATACTTATAAACAATGCCAAAATATGGGTTGCTCCCTCTGCTGTCCAATCACCTGTCTCTCCTGGGGCGTCACCCTACAACTGGCTACTTTTGAACTAAGATAAACATCCCCCCTTCCTTGTTCCTCTAGAATAGTCATAATGTTAATATACTACATATTCCCCCCTTCGAGACGAACTAAAAGTCTCGAAAACAAAAAGAACAGGATTATGACAAGTAACAATTTATCTTATTAAGTATCTTTAACATTAAACCAAAAACATTTTCCTCTAGAGTGTAAATACCTTTCTATGAACTATGAACAAATGTTTATGAAGTGTGAATACATTACTATGAACCATGAACAAATCTTTATGGAGTGTGAGAGCGAAAAACTGTCTGGCAGCCATCTTTCCAGATATCCATCCATCAATCAAGACAGTAAAATTCTCTCACGGTCCCTCTGCCCCAGGCAACCACCTAGATACTCCAGATAAACTCATAAATCCTTATCAATGCATTTGAAACTATGATGCAATTAAATACACATGTAAGGCCCTGCAAACAAAATACTATCCAAAAAATGTCCATCCTAAGGCTGGTCAACCCATCGGATCCTACAGTGGACCTCTCCCTGCCTAGACTCCCAGTCCCTAAGCATTCACAAAATAAACAAAAACATCTAAGATCCCCACATGTATCCAATAACATCAAATATCATTCTACAAAAAACCTAAGAATATGACACAAATTATGTATTACACATGCAAATATGTCTATATTTCATTGCAGACACTGGAATGTAGTCCACTACACTTCATCTCCTCCCGTAGTCTCGACTTCCAATGCATCGTTGATGATGGAATGGAACCTTTCCACCCCTTCCTGGTTCCATCTCCTCCAGTCATTGTCCTTTCATATTGTCCTTTCTTTGAGTATTTCAATCTTTACATTTTCCCCCAAACGCTTCTGGAAGAAAAGAAAAGACCAAACAGTATCTTCTGCAAAACAAACACTTTCAAATTAAACATGAAGATCAACTACGAATATAAAAATGATATATAAATGATGTATGAATCACATTAACCCATTTCCCCCCTTTGATTCATAACATCATACTAAAATCACACTAATATTGAATTTTTTTTTGGAAAAATGATCAAATAATCAAAAAGGATATTTATCCATTAATACTCCATCCAGACCCCCTTGTTCATCTTCATCCAGATCAGGAACAGTCAACAACGGCATCTGAGTGTTGTCTCCAGGCATCACAACTCCAACCCATCTTAATATCATAGCTTTCGCAAAGGTCAGTAACAAATTACAAACATCACACACAGTGCTATCAAAACTGCCATTAAAATGTAATCCATCACTGCTCCTACTGGCCTAACTGATCTTGCAACCAAGTCTTCGCTGACCATCCAGCTCCTCAGATCTACCAAACGCATCCCTTATATTCTTCAATGCATCTATAACTATCTGGAATCAAAGTATAGGTAATATTATCAAGATGATCTGCCAAAAATGTTACACCATACCATGGAAAAAGTCCCCCCTTCTCCCTTAGATTTATCCTCCAACGGTAGGCTTCAAGACTATGAAATGTCGCCATGTCTCTTTTCACCCTACTTCCAAACCTAGATTTAGATTTATCTGTGTCCGGTGCTACCCCTCTTTTAATGGTAAAACTCATATGGAAGCTTCAACGTTGACATGTAACAACATCCTGTCCATC